CTATAAATATTTTGGGCTTGGAAATGCAGTTTCTAGTACATATAAGAGAGTCTCTAATACTGCACCTGGAAGTGCTGGGTGCCAATGTCCATGTAACCATCTATAAGGTACCACTGACATACATATAAAAATAATCTACTGTAAATAAAATAAGAAGCTGTGATTTTGACTAAAAGATAGGAAAGCCTGGATTGTTTTGGTTTTTGGGGTTGTTTTTTTTTGTTTGTTTTTTTTTGGTTTTTTCCATAATTTAAACAATGTGAAATCTCTCAAGAGTTCCTTTATGGCACATAGCATTTTAGCAGCATGCCGTAATAGGTTTGGATACTTAGTAGGTAATTTCTAAACCAAAGCTTCCATATTTATAATTAAATAGCTATCTGGGTGCAGGCCTGTTTGCTTGATTAACCAAACAAATTTGTGGATGGCTTATCTTGAGAATCTGGCTTTAAAGAACAATTACAGCCAGCGTTGTACCTTGGTGAGACAAGTGCATTCCTTCAGCTCCCCACCAGCAATGCCAGTGTGGTGACCTTACACATTGCTGCAGTACTCTGAGGGAATGCTTGGCCTTGTTGGAGACTGAGTGGATGTGAAATGGACAACTTCTGTCCCTGCTTCAGGGTGACGCTGGTGTCACGGGCCGGAAGATCATCGTGGACACCTACGGCGGCTGGGGCGCGCACGGCGGCGGGGCCTTCTCCGGCAAGGACTACACCAAGGTGGACAGGTCGGCCGCCTACGCCGCCCGCTGGGTGGCCAAGTCCCTGGTGAAAGCCGGGCTCTGTCGCCGTGTTCTGGTTCAGGTATGGCTTGCTAAGGACGTTGCTGCTCTCAAAACCATTTTCCCTTTTTAGATTTTCTTTGAATGCCCATTGTACGAGCTACTGTAGTAGAGGTGGTCTTGGTTTTCTGGAGAAAGAAAGACTCGATGCTTAGTTTCAAGCCCACTGTAATGTCACCAACACCCTGCTGGCTTCTTGAAACTGAAACTTTGCATTTAGCTTTTTGGCTATTTTATTGGCAATGTTTCCAGATATCTGTTGAGCCCTCAACATTCTGACACTCACACTCATTGAAATGAGTATGACGTGACTGGATAATGAGGGAGAAAGTAAACCAGAGGACTCAGTATCTTCAAAGCTTTCTCTTCTTTGTTTATACAAATACAGATTGTGCAAATATGAGAAGTGAAGGAGAGGCCTTAGTTTTCATAAGATGATTCATAAATTAATGTTTTCTTCTGCTGCCCCGAGGTGCTGTGTTTATTGGCTGACTAAGGTATCTTTTTTCCCACAGGTTTCTTATGCCATTGGGGTTGCCCATCCACTGTCCATTTCACTGTTCACTTACGGAACTTCCCAAAAAACAGAGAAAGAGCTGCTGGACATTGTGCACAAAAACTTTGATCTCCGGCCTGGAGTCATTGTCAGGTAAAGAAACACACAGAAAGGAAAATATCCCAGTAGATGCATCCGAGAAATGATTTCTTGCAAAAAATCATTTCTTCTAGCTGTTACTGAAGGTTTGGCCTTCTATAGTATATGGAAGTCAAGTAAAACAACTTTTGCATTCCAAGAACTTTAAGTTACTTTGCTCTGATAAAAATGTATCTTTTGGCTTACCAAAGGAATTTAAGATTATTTAATCTTTTCCATTTAATAGTAGTTATCACAAACTATCTTAATATGAAAACATTTTCCTTCTTTTTATTATACACACAGGGATCTGGATTTAAAAAAGCCCATTTACCAGAAGACTGCATGTTATGGTCACTTTGGAAGACAGGAATTCTCATGGGAAGTGCCTAAAAAACTCGTGTTTTGACATTAGTGACATGTCACCTTTTAAAACCAGAAAGGAAGACCAGTAATGATGAGGATGCTTCTGAAAATCAAATTTGACAGCTTTATATTCAGCATAAGGAATTTTAGATTTTAAAAGGAAAGAAAGAAAAGCTTATTTTCTTGGAAATTGATTTTTTTTTTAACCCTCAGTGTCTTTCATTATCTAAGATATAATGGACAGAGTCTGTTTTTTAAATTAGCATAAGACAACAAAATACAGTTTACTTTTAACTGCTGCTCTGTTGGTTCTTTGGATAAAGACTAAGTGTGACTCAGGTACTCAAACCAAAAGCTGAACCTCAAGCTTTGATGGGCAATGGTGAAGATGACTTTCCCAACTCTGACTAAGGATCAGCAGATCTGTTGCTTCTGATTAGACAATGGGAAATTCTGGGGTCCAATTTCCTTACTGGAGTTAGCAATGCCTATGGCTGGGGGCTGCTTTGATGGGAGAAGGCTGAATAGCACCTAACAGTATTTTTGCCTCTTTTATAAAAGATGTTAACATATATGTAATATTTAAATCACCTTCAGTGCATATGTGCTGTTACTGTCATGTTTCAATTACTTGTGTTTTTGAAACAAAAGTGCTCTCCTATGACACAACAATCATAGAATAAAAAGCTTTTTCCTACCGTGTATGTAAGGGTGTATATTTTTCTATGTTTTTTTTTAATGGTGCTGTTAAATGGTCCATCTCAACTCAGCTGCTTCTACTCTTGTAGGAATTTAGTTTACCAACATAATTTAATTTCATTTGATTTTGAAATTGTTATATGCATTTCCCTGTTAATACATGTATGATCACTCTTTAGTCCTTGTGATTAATGGAAATTCTGTGAAAAAAATATTAGATTTTTATTTGTAACTCTTTTTGTGCTATACAGTATCTTTTCATAATTTTTACTCCCAAGCATCAAGTTTATTGCATGGCTTTCTATGTTGGATATAAGCTGGGAATAAAATATAGCTGAGAGAAATAACTTCAAAACTTCACCAAACACACAGAGGTTGCATTTGGAGCAGTGTCCCTCCGGAGAGCTGGTCCCGGCTCGGGGCCGTGCCCGGCTGTGGAGCGGGGCTGAGCCGGCGCTCGGCTGCCGGGGCTGCTCCCGGTGGCTGCTCCCGGTGGCTGCTCCCGGTGGCTCTCAGGGGTGATCCCAGTGACTGCCAGGGGTGATCCCAGTGACTGCCAGGGTGGTCCCAGTGACTGCCAGGGTGGTCCTGGTGGCTGGTCCCGGTGGCTACCAGGGCTGCTCCCGGTGTCCCGCTGTTCCTGCCGGAGCCAGCGCCCGCCTCCCCTCCGCACAGGTCAGGGTCGCAGCTGCAGGTGGCCGGGACACGGCCAAGACTGACAAGGACATCTCTGTGCCCATGTGCTGTATTGTCCTTGACAGTGGCGAACTACTCTTTGCAAATGCCTGAGTTAGGCACAGCTTTGTTTAAACTGGGAGGGTGTGAGACCGCGTTTATCTTCTGCGCTCGGTTTTGTTTGTCAGTAGGCAACAACTTAATCCTCCAGAGCAAGGGTTGATGTGTATGGCCCCCAAGAGGGACTTCATGTTTTTTAGGCAGCATTCTGATAAATCTGCGCTGGAGAAGTGCTGCCACCCCGTGTTTATCTCCTAAATAAATGTCTTCATACAGAGCCTCCCGAACAGATGTGGTGCTGGAAAGAAAGTGCCTGTGATGAACATTAAAGAAAAAGCTGCCACTTATTCCTGTCAAGTATGTCATAAACACAATTTATATCTAGTCAAGCCAAAGGTCTCTCACTTTTATTAATTATGCTAATGTACTCTGTGTTCTGTGTAAGTTGAGATAAGCAGGTTTATGTGTAGGACTTACCACATTAATCAGTGGGCCTCACTGGGTATCCACCTGGGTACATTTTGGCAGGAAAATATCTTAAAGACCACCTGCATCTTAGAGAATGAGTTGGCAAAGATTTCCCAGGGACCATTTTCCTAGCTACATATTGGTTGTCTTCCAAGGACTATGGAATATGTGTGTGTCAGCCTCAGAAAGGTAAGCTGTTTGCAGCCAGGTCCTATTGGCCTGCCTAGAAACATAAACCTTGACCTTTGTTATTAAAGGCTTGTTTTGCTAATGATCTTTTACCTGTCAGGGATGTATAGAAAGGCATTTTGCTAGTAATAAGGAGGTCACCATTCGTGCTGACACAGAACTGTTTCATGCAAGTGTTACACTCCTACACATTTATCAGGAGGTCCCTGAGATAGCACAAGCAGACATTTCCTTGTCAATGCCCTGGGTGCCTTCCTTTTGGCTTAACTTCTTCTGCAGCTCCAGGTCATAATGTAGTACACTACAACCAGCAGAAGCAAGTGAATTAAAAAAATAATAAAAAGAAATTAATAAAAAATTAAATAAAAATAATTTACAATTAGTTAAAAAACAAATAAATGTGTCCCATAACATGACATGAAAACAGAAAGTCCGTGCTCAACAAAAAGAAACACCTGCTGATGAAAGGAACAGGTCTGCTCAGGTGGTGACAATAACAACCATTAAAGGTTTGTTGGAGAGGGGGGGCTGTGTGCGTGCCCAGCTGGTTAGCAGGAAGGTGAGATGTGTGACAGGCTGTCAGGTGAAAGGCTGTGAAAGCCTTGCATTTCACACATGGGTTAGGCACACCCCTAGGACAACTGGACCCCTACAACAATCTGCTAATAAATGTGCAGGATAGAAAAGGTTGAACTTTTGTGGCAATTTTGCTACCTATTCAGCTCTTCCCATAAATGGATTCAACACATAAGGTTCATGGCATCATTAAAAAAAAATAAAATAAAGAAATTAGCAAAACTCTGGATGCTACAGAATACAGACCATAACCGGTTGGTTCAAATCAGTTGTCATTTGATGTTCTGAGCTTTCCCTTTGAGTATGACATACAAATTAAGGAGTTATTATGTCTTCTTTATAAAAGTATATTTGTGTGTGTGTGTGTGAGAGAGGCAAACACAGACAGATGGGAAGGTGGTGAGAGAGCCAGAGCATGCAAGAATGTGCATACAGTAAACATGTTTACAGTAAACCAGTTAATCTGAAAATTTCCCCATGGACTGGCAGCAGCAGAGGCAGCCTGCCTCAGTGCCCTAACAAGAACATGCCCATGCCCCTGCCCTCCCCCAGACTGTTCTGGCAAGCTCTCCTTGGGCTTCCCAGCAAGTGGGGCAATGTGTGCCTCCCCCTAATCCCTGATCACAGCACTGCTGTGGCGTGAGGCACAGGGTAAACAGCCAGGCACACAGGCACACAGCTCTGTGCCTGACTCCAGGGCTTTTGCTCTCAGACACCACAAGCAACAAATAATTACCTGTGGTCTTCTGCAGAGAGAAATGATCTGCTCACGCCTCCTCTGGAAAACACTGTTTATTCTAAGTTTAGCAGTTCTTCTTGCAGGTAAGATGTTCTTGAATATGGCTAGCAATTATTTAAATAGGGCTGTCTTAGAGAAATGAAGGGCCTGCTTAGGAGCCCAGCCATGAGTGGCTCTGAACAGGTGCTCACATTGGTGTTTCCAACAAATCAACATTTGTAGAGATTATTCAGATTTGATCCCTGATCACCTCAGATATACAAGCTGGTACTAGGACTGTGGGATAGGATAGAAGCAGGATAGAAGTACAGTTCCTCTGAACAAGTGGTATTTGGGGTTTGTTCCTGTGTCAAGAGGGACTATGACCTAGCTAAGTACCTGCTTCTGCTTGTCTTTTAGATTTTACTGAAATCAGAGCTTTTGCCAAGCAAAGTGAATGCAAAAATGCAACCATAGATGATGTGAATTGGAGTCTCAAGGTAAGAGGTTGGCTGACCCAGGGTCTGTTCTGCATCCACTCCTGTGCTGGTGGGCTCCTGCTGTGACTGCCTGTGCTGGCTGGGCAAGCACAACTCGTGCATTGCTTTGGCAATGTACAAAGTACAAGCCGGGGAGGGGAGGCACACGCAAGGGCAGAAAAACATTAGTGTCATCTGACTTACCACAGCTTTGGTCCTGCTACTGCTAGTCCAAAAATGACCTTGTAAATATATTTTCCAGTTTTGCCCTGCTCTAGATTTATAAAGTGACTTGAACATAAGCAGTATAGTGAGATAAATAACAGTAGCTACCTAGAAATACATGAGCTTCTTTATTTACATATGTTCACAGACAGGTTAATTCTAAGGCTCCAAAGTCTTTCCTTTTCAACTTCAACTTTTTCTCCCCTAACTCCACAGAAATATTCAAAATGCTTGCCTGATATTATTGCCAAGGGTGAAAAAGCTTCAATCAATTTTCTGGCGTGGACACTGCAAGAAACACTTGATCTGCTGCGCCCTGTTCAGGAGCAATGTGAGGCCCCTCCTGAGCCAACGCTCCCCTTTGCTGGGCAGGGAACAAAGTAGCAGAGGAGAAGCACAAAGGAAATTCTTTCTACTACAGAATGAGCCAAGTGTCTGCATTTCTTTAGGGGAGGGGGGCATAATGTAAAAGATGTCTCAGCAACAGGGAGCACTGGGAGTGGGGAGGCACAGCAGCACACACAGGGGGTCCTGCTGTCTCTGCAGCCCAGGCACCGGTGCTGAGCAGCAGCACAGCCACAGGGCCAGCAGGGTCTGCTCCGCCCTCCAGCCAGAGCCTCTGTGCTGTCTTGGAGCTGGCATGCCAGTCATATTTTTCCAAGAAATACTTGGATAGTTTTGGCCACAATAGCACTGAATGTCAGTGCTGCGAATGCAAGTGCCACAGTGAGCCACCTCTAAATTGTGACTGGGTAGTCACAGTGACAAGTGAGGGGAAAATCTGGTGGGTTGGCCAAAAAAAAAAAAAGTGAGGGGACAAAAAAATTTTAAACAAGCAAACATGCTTTCTTTGATGATGTCAGCTGGCAGAGACAGGTCAATGAAGTTGCTTGGGAAGGGAAAGCTTTTATACCCACTTTCACTCTGTTATATTGTCTTCTCACTCTCTTTCTTTTTTCTTTTTGTCCAGTTTGCAAGCAGCTACCTCCGTGCCCACGTCCAGTGGCCCCAAAAAATGGGGGGCTCGTGTGTGTGACCATTGACAACACTCAGTACTGCAAACCCATGTGCAACAAGGTAACATTCCTGCCTTACTGCTGCTATACTGCTGCACCTATTCCTCCCTTTGCTAAAGCCTAGTTTTGCTTGCTATACTTTTTTATATCCTTTGTACTCACCTGCCCTGTTTTTCCCCCTTGCAGTTACCATGATGTACCCTAAGACAGTGTTTGTTTATTTTCTACCCTCCACTGTTTCCCAAGGGTTATGACTTCCAGTTCCTCAGAAGCAGCAGGCTCTATGAAGCATGTGGCAATGCCACTGGGTTTTCCTGGAGCACGCAGCTTAGCGGGGGAAAGACGCTGGCTGTTTGCAACCGTGAGTGCTTCTCAGAGACCTCTGCTCATCAGGACACAAAGCTTCCTCTCTTTTGTTCAAAAAAAATAGCAGGAAAGAAAAGTTTCTCTTTTCATGACAGCCTTGTCATGTGTGACATTGTGAGAGTCAGTGCTGAGCTGGCAAACTGATGAGCAAGAAAACACATTAGCTGTAATACTCTCATGAGAGCACTGCTGTTTCATCTCGGGGTACCAAATCTGGCATTTATGCAAATGTTTGTGGGAAGATGGACCTGTTTTTTTAAAAAACAGAAAATTAGTATCACCCTAACACAAACCCCACATCACACAAGGGTTGTGTGCATGGGACAGACAGTAATAGGACATAAAACCGTTTATCCTGCAACAATAGCTGAAGAATCTCAGCAAACTGGCCAACACCTGTATGTACACACAATAAAGCCCAGCAGCTGGGCCCCAGCCAGCAGTGCTGCCATCTTCATGGCAGCCCAAGGACTGTAAGACTGCTCCCATTTTATCCATTGCTCAATCTGTGACCCAAAGCAGGCTGCTGTTATTGCCTTAATTTAAAAATAAATGTGCATATAGATACACAAAAGGGCCACTCTACCACTCCTACATTTAATGGAAAATATTTTACTGTTGACAGTGCCTAGTTGCTAGAGCAGTTGCTAGTTGTTTTCCAAGGCTTACTAAAAGCAAGCAATCATCTAGGCACTTTTATTCCAAGTTGGAGACTTTAGTTTAGAAAATTGGAATCCCAACACATGTTTAAAGACAGAACAAAGCTAAGCTATGCTAATTTAGCCACCAATTTATTTATTTGTTTATTGTCATCTTTGATCTTTTCCAGCCTCTGAGGTGGCCATCAGTGGAGCTAAATCTGCCTATTTCCCCAGCAACAGCAGCTGTGTGCACACGCTTGCCTTCCCTGGGACTCGGGCAGAGCAGCTGAACATCTTCCTGCAGGAGATTGCCCAGCAAGGCATCGACGGCTCCAGCCGGGACCGGGGGGCCGATTGTATCATCTGTGGCTACTAACAGCAGCAGCCTGAGCACAGCCCAGCCTCTGGCTGCTCTTGGGCAGCAGAAGCACAGCAGTGAAGTCACAGCCAACTCACAGCTTTTATTTAGTTAGAGGTCTGGAGAGCACAGTCGTGACCCCAGCTTTGGGGTGTGGATATATAGGCTAAATCTAATCCTACAGCTCATGGAGGAATAGTTCCAAAGAAAGAAGACCACTTTTATGGCTTTAATTTGTCTAGCTGGAGTTAAATGAGAACTTCAAGTTCTTAAATGGATGCCTTCCTATTGGCTTAAGTTCTTCAGGATATCTGCAGATAGTGATAACAGTGATTGTTGTCAGAAATTGTCCTGTGTCAGGGGTCCTCTTTACTTGGAAAGGGCTGTACTTCTACTCACTTTCACAGCTGCCAGTTAATCACTATTATTGCTCTGATGACCATTTAAGCTGTAGGGGTATAATGTTTCATTCACTTGCTTGCTTGACTGGGGCTTAGAACAGCAGCAGAAAACCTGTCCATTGTCCACCTGGCACTAAGTGAAAGTGAAGATCAAAGGCAACTTAGCACTGCTGATCCAGCTTATTTGTGGAGCTGTAGCTACCAAACAATGTGCATGTGAATTATTGTGAAATGTAAACAAGGAATTTAGTTACTGCTTGCTTGGTTTTCAGTGGAATCTGTGCTTGAGGTAATATTTTAATTTTCTTCTGTTGAGCAAACAGTGAAGCTGTAGATCTGAAGACTGACAACTCATCTGTTTGTGTTTCCTTTCCCTGTTTTACCTTTTCCCTGTTTATGTTCATCTCTCAGACACAGACAGCATAGTTTTGTGGTACATGATGTAAAATTGACCTTTACCTCATTAATCAGATAAATGGTTCAAATATATATATTTACATACTTATATTTCAGGCTTAGAACTGAGTCACTACAAGTAAAAAAACCCCATAAATAACCCCAGCTGCTTTAGGGCCCAGAAGCAGACATATGACAATGAGTGGAACAGACAATTACACCAGAAAAGGCATGAGTTGGATGCTTTGGCTACTTATAAACCATATGGCAATAAATGAAGTCATTCTGTTGGAGACAAAAGCGCTGTAGTCTTAAAGGAAAACAATGAGTTTTGAATCATTGGGTTTTGGTATTTATTTATTTATGGCAAAACACATTATCTCTATCAAATTAAATGATAATGTTTTAAAGTCTTTCCAGTCAAATCATTATCAACCGATGCTCAGATAAAATATCTGGAGTTCTTTGCAGTATAATCTTTCTACTGGTGCCTAACCCCATTTTTTCTCTCAATTTTCTTAATCTATTCTAGTGACTTTCCAAACCAGCCAACAAAAGAAAAGAAAAGCCACTGATATTTTATTTCATGAGGAAATCAAACCTGTAAACTAGCATAATAATCTGTTTAATTTGTGGGTCAGAAATCCTCATATGAGTGTCACACAGTGTGGAAGAATTAGGCTGAAAAGCTTTAATTATCATCTGTCATGAACTTGATATTAAGCTGGAGACTAGGTCGCTGGGGTGTTTTTCAATAACTTGCAGAGAAGTTGTTTTGTTCTATTCCCACCACCTGAGTTCTTATTTATATATGAGACAGGGAGTTGACTCAATAAGCCCATATGACACAGTTAAAAACAAAAGTAAATTTAATCATGTTATTTCCCAGAGTACATTGGCATAATGTCATTCATGTAAATGGTTGCTGGGTGTTTACATTAATTTCTTGTTGGTGTCTGGCCTGAGAATTGGACCATTCCTCATGTGCCTGCTGTAGCCCCAGAAGGGTTTGCTCTGGCACTACGGGGTTGAGGAAAGAGGAAAATTTATATAGAAGGAAGGAATTTAAGAACATTTTAAACCATAAAATTTCCAGATAAAACAACAGAAGCAGGGGAGATTTATTTCTTGAAACATTCTCTGAAATTTTATTTTTTTCTTAGGTTTTGCAGTACAACCAGACTAAACTACTGCCTCCCCAGAGTATCCTGCATGCTTTGGATAAATCCACCTGCATAAGTGTCAGTCAGTTAAAGGCTTCAGTAGTATTTGCAGTGTAACTATAGAGAGGGAGGATTTCCTGATATTAATTAAGGGAATCCAGTGCTGCATTATCCTTACTTCTCTTTCTGTCCACAAGAGAGGAACTCAGTCTAGGGACTGAGCCAACACCATTAATCACAGCCCAGCCAACACACAGAAGCCAAAGTGCGGAGAGCCGCAGCGGATGGTGACAAAGCATCCTCTTCCCACAGGAGCCCAGCAGCACTGGGATTCCCTCACTTTTGGGCAGTGAGGTGATGCTCAGGGATGGTGCCAGTGGGGCCCATCCTGCCGGGACAGCGGTGGGAGCAGGGCTGCTCACACGGAGCCTTGCAGCGAGATCTGCGGCACGCGCCTCATCCTCCAGAGCACCACCGCGGCGGGGGGCAGCAGCATCAGGAGGCTCATGACCAGCACGGCAGCAAAAATGACCAGCAGGATTTCCCATGGGGCCAGGATTGTTTCCACCGAGATTTCCTCCATGTCAAGAGCCTGAAGTTGCGAAGCAAAAAATATGCTGTGTTATTTACTTGCAAATAGGAATTATGTCTGAATAGGTGTGTTTGCTTCAGCCAGAATAGGGGGGGTCAGCCTCTTTGGTCTGTTCCTTTCTCAGCCTGAAGAATAAACCCATTTGGGGGCTGCAGACCCTAGAAGAGCTCCTCCTTTCTCTCTCTCTTTTTCTGTGCCCTGAGGAGCCTCCATACAACATCAGCCTGTCTTTTCGCCTTGGCTCAGTTGCAGTTGTTGATGCTGGTGTAAGACACCTGGTCCACCCTAAAGCACTGGTCCTAACCCTTGGGTAAGCCTTTCTCTTTAAAATTTTGATTTTTAAGGCCCTCTTCTCCCACTTAAAACATCATTACACAAAACAATTACTACACTAACATATATCAAAGCTAAAGCTGAAATTAAAAGAATATGATGGAAAGGAGAATTGGAAATTGAACTGCCATCAGAATGCATATTTTATCTTTTTCCATGTATAGAAAGAGCAGGGTTCTTAGGAAGGAGTTAAATTGTGTTGATTCTTTTAAGTGTTAAGAGGTGTGTCCTAGGGAATGCAGAGTTCAATGCAATTCCTGCTACAGGACCCTCACACCTGAAAGTCATGACAAGTCCTCTTCCTGGACCCACACACCAGTGAGTGAATAAATGAGGTGCCAGCTGCTGAAGAGCTTTTTTTCTCCCCAGTCCTTCGTATCAGTAGTGAGGAGGTTTCCTGAGGGGCTGCAGTGCTGCTTTTGCTGTGGGAATTGGGACTGCAACTCACCAGAGGAGGTCTCAGGTTTGTCCAAGCATGTGCTTTACTGAGCTTTTGTTACTAAATCCTGACCTTTATGTAAAGGTGATGATGGAAACTAGGTTGATTTTACTGAGTATTTATGTCTGAGGAGAGTAGAAAATTGGAATAATTTCCAGCAACAGTGTACATGACAGTGTTAAAATTGCCAGTAGCTCATTTTTTTTTCCTGCCGTCTGTAAGGAGAGTGTGTGTTAACAGTGTATGTCTAGTATCAAATCTTGGTGGATTCAGACCATGATATCCTTAATGAAAGCGAGTCCTGATGGAGCTCTCCTTGGCTGCTGTGCCATGTTCCAGTTGGATCAATCTCAAATCTCAAAGCACAGAAAAAGCACAGAAAAAGCACAGAGGATGCAGCTGGAGCTCCCCTAGCTCAGGGCCTGGAGCTCTCTCAGCTGCTCTCCTTCCCAGTGAAGCCACATCCCTGTGGCAGGAGGTGGCTGGAGCTGGAATGCTGCCCACCAGGCTCATTCCCTGAAGTGGGCTGTGCTGTGTCTGCTGCCACCCAAGCTGCAGAACAGCTGCTTGATTTTGTGTGTGTTTATCTGTTCCAACCTCTGGCTCTGCTGGTGTGGGCTGTGCTTCAGAGCCCATCGGGCTGTGTGATATTCTGACCTTTCCTGTGTTATTCTCTGCCCACTGGCTGGTGGGTCAAGATAGGTGTGAGGCTGTTTTTAACCTGGAGAGGGATTTTTTTTTTTTTTTTTTTTCTCAGGGAGCTTCCTTGTGCTGCTTCTCTTCTGCCTAGAGCTGCTGCCCAGGGAATGTCACAGGCTACTGAGTGTTGAGAGGTGTCTTAAGGAGTGCAGTGGTCAATGGAATTTCTTCCATAGGACCCACACACCTGAAAGTCATAAGGCCTGCAAGTCCTTTGCCAGAACCCACACACCTGAAAGCTCTATTATCCTCCTGTCTCCTAATCTGAATGTCTTTGTTAGTTAACTCCTTTAAATATCTCAGTTTCTCACTTGCTTTGTGGTCATTTTTTCCTGCCTTTTTCTCTGCCAGGCATCTTCTCTTAAGCTCTCACTGTTGCTACTTCTGCTTTGTTTTCTAGCTTTTGTTTCAAATCTTGCTGTCATTTCATTCCTTTTATTTTTCTCCTCTGCTTGTTGCCATTCTTTTTTTTTTTTTTTTTTAATTCAGTCATGGTTTGCATGGGAAATCCCTGTCCCCGTTCTCTGCTTTATTGGTTCCTCACCAGTGTCTGGGGGAAAAAAAAAAATCCATTAAGAGCATCCACTGCTTTGCCAGCAGCCAGATCTAGTGGGGTGAGAACAGAGCATTGCTCCTTTCCTTAAATCCTGGCTGTGAGGGAAGGTCACACCAGTTAATTCTGTATAAAACAAACTTACAGTGATTTTCAGCTGGACTATATCCCAATCTGTGTAAGAAATAGAGATCCCAAGAGACAGTGGATGCTGAGGGTGAAGGAAGGCTCTGTTTTTTTTTTCTTGTGGTTTGAGGTGGGGAATGTGAGGTGTGTTTGAGCACCCAGCCCTCTCCTTCATCCCTGGGTGGAGATGACATGGCATATTTCTATGCTTGGATGAGGAGCTGCTGTGCTGCCAGCTGTAGCCCTGGCAGTGAAAGAAGGGTTGGACCCAGCAGCCCTCCATGGGGAAGCACTGCTGCCTTTCCATCCGCCCCGGCCCTCGGGCAGGATCAGCTTTGCAGCAGCAGTGGAGAAGTGATGTGAAGGTCTGTGCTAGTGTTGAGGCAGCTCTGAGGATTCAAGGATGTGTGGCTCAAGGCTGTGAGAGCAGCAGATCAATTCCAAGGGTCTTGCTCACCTTTTGGAGCTGTTGGCTACACTGGCTTTAGCTAGAAAAGCTGCTGCTGGCTGGGAAGTGATACCAAGTGTTACATAAATTCCCCAAAGTGTGTGCTTGTTCTGCATTAACCTATTCCAAGCTTTTCCTGTACCTGTGTTCTCATGTCCTAAGGTTTTTCTTAGCTTGCACAACATACAGTGTGCTTTGTTCTTTGGGGGCCTGAATACAACAACTCTGCTGATGTGACAAGAAGGTTGTGTTGAAAGTCAGTGTTACTATATACATACTTTTCAGTAAGACAATCAAAAATAAGGTACACTCATCAAAGCAGAAGTCATCCCAAAGGGAACACGGGTGTACTGCCAAGTGAAGCTGTTCAGCTGTGGTGCTGTGCAATCAGCAGAGCTGCAGGCCTTGACTCGGTGCCCTTCTGAATGTTGCAGGCCTATCTCAGCCAGTCTGTTCCCTTCAGCACAGCTATGAAAGGTCTGGAGCTGCTCTATTAACCAGGTGTTTCTCACAGGGATACAGTATTTCATTATGGGAAGGCATAAATTAATCAAAATAGTGGTCAACCAAAACATAGCTCTGGAAATGCAAAGTCTTCAGAATAAATACGTGGTGTCACTGGAGCTTTGGGGGTTCTTTATCTCAATTAAAATCCTCATCAGTGAATGTGTAAGCATGTCAAATCTGGTCTCTAAGCCAGAAAATAACTTGTATTGAAGTTTGTTCTAGATCTATCCCTAAATTTAATGAATGGGTAGATGAGTAAGTGTGTAGAATTTGAGCTGAACACACTGAATAACGTGAATTAAAATACTTTAGAGAAGCATACAATAAGGAAGACAGGGTGAGGGGAAAAAGGGATCTATTAGAGGTGTGATTTGCAATTGTACCTTCCATTTCCAGTGTTTCATTTATTGCCTGAAGGCTATACAAATTGAGGTGGGGTTTTTTTTCTGTACTATAATTGATGAAAGACCATTCTGTCTTTCAGAAGTATAAACTTACGTAATTCTGGAAATGAAGTTAGTATCTTTCACTAACAATATATTTAATACAAGCTAAAGTAGACTGTAAAGATGTATCCTAGATTGTGGATTGTTTCACTGCTCCCACTATCTTAGCAAATATTCACTTTTCAATTGCAATACTTTAAGATCATGGCACATAACTCTTGCATGGGACAGTAGAAGCAGGAAACAAAACACTTTCTCTTTAGAGTTTTTAGCTGATGTACTGTGTGCTGGCTTACAGCCTGCTGCAATACAGAAAAGCCAGAAAATACTGTTTGATATGAAACCTTACCTTTTGATTATTAGGAAAAAGAGCAAAACCACATATAGGGAGACAATGATTTACTCTGTCTTGCTGCTGTGTTGCTGCGGGATGCAGCTGAGAGTGGCCTTGGGACCTCTGCCCTGCAAGGAATCCACCCCAGTCCTTCCCACCATCTGAAACTATTAAAGAGTGCTTTTCCTGCCTGCTCTATTGAATGGAATCTTTGCTAGGTTAAAAAGACAGTTCTTTTTCTCTGCTAATCTTGTTTCCCCCTGCCCCCTCCAAATTACACATGGATATCTTGATTTTAGAGAACTAACAGCAGGGAAAACCTTACAAAACCCCCAGATGTGATATTTTACCCATATCACATCTGGGAGGGGAGAATTGCACTTTGTCAGTGTCCAATGATGACAAAGGTAGCAATGCAGAATGCAGCAATACTGTAAGGAAAAAAAAAAAACAAAACACCCACCTTATTTGCAGTCTACAGAAATGGTGTGAAGGTTCAGGACAGCCCTCTGAGTCTTACAGTAACTTTAGTTATTGTAACTTGAGAAGTTCCCCTGAGCAAGATGCTTGTGGGAGGTGGTGGCCTCTCAGTCTGTAACTTGCTCTCACTTGAGGTTTCTTTGAAAATGTATTGCATAGGGCTCAAAGATGAACTGGTATCTGAATTAGCAAGTATTTATATAATTTATTGGGCCTCCAAACTACAGAATTATTTGCTATCATATAATTTTTCTCTGTGCTGAGAAAGTCACACTACTGGCTAAACTCTGGGAACAGAAAAACAAGTTTTAAAACTTTGGAAGCTCAGTAAATATGTAAATGCAGCCAACAAATGGCAGAAGGGATCGAAATCTGCAAGGTCTGTTTTATATCAGTGAATATTTATATTTTCTTTTGTTTCCAGGCAGGTATTCTGGTTAGGAGCTAGAGTACTTAATGTCAGTCGAAGACTTGTCTTTGTGAAATCTAGTGACAGTGCTCAGTTCTTACTTTGGTGGAGATGAATACAGTCAGATTGGATAAAAACCCCCAATCAATAGTACAAAACAATGTAAAATTTGTGTAAAATACAAAACAGTATATCTAAATTATTAAAGATTATTAGTGATATCTTTATACAATTTTTAGTATTTTATTAGGTCAGGAATACCACTAGATTCTACAAATTTTATCAGCTAAAACCACATGGACTATATTGAATTTTCAGTATCTTCTGCAAGCAGGGCTTACAGCTGTTTATGTGGGGAGGGGTTTTATTATCTGCACCTGAGAGCTGCTCTGTCAGATACAAAGAAGGGCTCCCAGTGGCTTCAGCACAACCAGAGCTGTGAAACACTTCCCACACTGGAGGGGTGTGACCACTCTTCTCCCAAGCTCACACTTATTCTAAAGGAAGAACAAGCTGAAAGGGGCAAACCAACAACAATGAACTTGTTCTGCTTCATTTTCCACTCAGTCAGTGATATAAATATTTGCCCTTCAAGTGGGGAAAACAAGTGCTCCTGGGTGCTCACTCTGCCTGAACTGGCAGCTTCCTGTTAACTCTCCAGGAGAATTACCCAGGGCTGGCTCTCAGTGCTGCAGCATCCTCCGTGTGCAACTGCAGGAGGGTCAATTCATCCCTCTGCTGCTTCCCTGGCTGAGGTAGCAAATGGTAGAACAGGAAAAATTCTCAAATCTGGATGTCTGGCACAGTGACGGACTTGCAAAGAGGGTGGTGATTGAGAAATAACTACACTGCAAGTTAAAATTGTCACTTAGAACTTCTGTAAGAACCAGAAATCAAATTAATGAGTTTGGCACCTTAGAGAAAAGGCTGCATTTCAATTATGTGAAACCTTAGAAACATCTAATAGTGCTGCTTTGGTCTCTAGAGGGAAAAACCTTTCAAACCAAGAGTGTATGAAAACACTCAGAATATCAAAATATTAACAGAAATTTCACTGAATTTATTTCTTATAAATATCTCCCTCTACAAGTAACTAAAGTATTAATTAAAATTCAGTATTCATTTTTAAAAATATTTCAGCCTTTATAAGGCGTGAAGCAGATTAGTCTATTTTAAAGTGAAATCTGCATGTACATATATCAAATCTTTCAGTGAATAAAGACACTGCAGGTTACAAATCAAGCTTAAAATATCTGAATATGAAAATTTGAAGCAAAAATTTTCAGGCATGAAACCTGGGGGAAGACTTTTAATACAAAATTTATGATGGAGACAGACTATTTAATAGACAAAACTAGAATAGCAAACTGTTGTGATTAAGCTGATCAAGCCCTTAGTTTCATCTCAGTTCCAAAAATAATTGTAATCAGTCAAAAATGCAAGAAGAGTTTCTCAGTTGTTATTTAAATCACACTTTTCTGGACATATGAATTCAGATTTTGGTATTTTGTCTAAAAAGATGGTTTTATGCTCTCATAGATAACACATTGTGGCATATGTCTGTTAGGTTTCTAATTCTTGAATGTGTAGCAGTGAGGAGTTACTCTGAGTCACAGACATTTTCAGTTCTGAAATATTTAGATTTTAAGCACTTTTCAGTAAACTTATACTAGCTGGAGGTGTGCTCACTGTAAAAGGAGAATAAAGGATTGCCTTATGCAGTCCACTTACATACATATTTCTAAGCATTTAGCAAGCTATTTTGCACTTAAAATTAATTATGTGACTAAGAACTCTGCGTTCTTCAACTCTTCCCTGCCTGACAACATTTTAACCAAACTAAAAATAATTGAATTATCCCCCTTTTATAGATGGAAGCCGGGCGGATCCTCTCCGTCCCCTCTTACCTGCTCCGTGCCCGGCGCTGTCCCGCGGGCGCTGCCGGGGCCGGGCGCGCCCAGCGCGGCTCCGCCCGCGGGAGGAGAGCGGGGCAGGGCAGGGCAGGGCAGGGCAGGGCAGGCTGCCCGGCTGTGCCAGCCCCAGGGAGCGCTGCCGGGGCTCGGGCACGGTGTGTGACCGCGGTCCTCCAGCCTAAGGCGCCCTCAGAGCGGCACCAGCGGCCGCGGGAAGCGGGGAGCCGCGCCGCCCTGCCCGCGCCCTGCTCGGGCTCGGCGGAGCCGCGGCTGGCTGGGCACACGCAGCCTGCTGTAGGAGACAGCCGCTTGCAGCGGAAAACGAGAGCACGTTTTTCACCAGAAAACCACTTGGGCTTTCCTTGTAAAACATCCTTTTTACTCGCGAGTGAGTAATCTGGCTAAGTAACTCATTCTGCCTGATTATTAGTATGAAGGCTGATGCGCCTAAGTTCATTGGAGATCCAAGGTGTTCACACACCCAACTCTCTTCCACCTATGTATATTCAACAGCCCGCTTGCTACTTAACAGCTCAGCTTTATTTTAATATTTGAGAAGCCACAGCTGTGCTCAGGCTGCTGCAGTATCTGTTATATCAAGTGCATGTAAAAACCTCTTCAGAGGCTTTGCTAAGCCAGCTCTGGCTCCTCTCCATGCTGCTGTGGAGGTGGCACTACGCAGCCCCAGAGAAGTGTCCCTCCCACCTGAACACACTGCTGCATCTGGCTCTTGCCTCTTGACAAGAGAAGATGTGAAGACCAAACTGCAGCCCGCCTTAAAAATTTAACTATGAAATCTGTGCAAAATCTGTGCTGGAGTGGATACATCCAAAGGGCTGTACAGAGCTTCAGATTGCAAAGAGATCCCTTGAGACCTCAAAGCCACAAAACCAGCAACAGGTTTTTCAGTTTCTTGCAAAGCAGAAGAAAATATTAACTAGGGTGTCTTCACAGAGAATAACAGCTGTTAATACTTTTTCACATGATGGATATTTTTATAGAGTCAAAACAATTTTCTGAACAATTCTTGACAGGGGGATGGGTGGAATAATTTAATAGTGTTTTCCACTATACAAGGCAGAATCAGTAACACTTTTCCCTGCAGAACTTGGCAAGTGACCTCTCTTGATATTTGACACTAATATTTCATCTTGCTAAAATCGGATTCCTTGCTAAGTTGCCTTCTGAGAAACCTGTTTATCCTGTTCTTTTACTGACTCTTCAGATTAATACAATTTTAACTTTACTTAATCCTAGTGGTGGTCCTAGTAGTCCTACAATCAGAAGTGGAAAAGTGCATGCCATTGACTGAAAATTGAACATCCCAGAGTTTGGCTTGTCAGGTATGCTAGGTGGTCCAGAATATCCACAAGTACTAGTAAATACATGTTAAATAGTGGTAGTTTCTAAAAGCACAACTAGAATTTATAGTTAGTATAGGGTGGATTAAGCTTTTAAAATAAGTTCACAAATGTTTCAGAAAACAGCTTTTGAAATAAATGCTTGCTAGCCTTGGGAAACCCTGCCTTTCTACAAATCAGAGGATGCTGTACAGCCATCTCGTTCAGATTTAGGAAATAAATTTGGTGCCCAAATGCTGAACCTGTCTGCCCTTCAGGCCAAGACTGCTGTTTCCAAACCTGGCTGCTGTCAGCAGGGCTGTGGAAGGTGGCAGCTTCAGGCAGGGTGGCAAACATTTCTCAGTGTCTCAGCAGGGCACCTGCAGCTGTGGAATAACAAAGTCCTTAACTCTCTTCCCTGGGAGCCCACAGGGGAAAAGCCAAAAGTTGGGAAGGTGGTGGAACATTTCTGCTCTGGTGCATATTCATTAGACTAACACTGAAAGTAGCTGCTTTCTTTCATACACACCTGCAAATAGCTTTAATTTTGTGACCCTCTGGAGATTAGCAGGATAGAATAAAAAACTTACCATGGCTTTAAATGTTTGGTGATGGTGGGCTGTGCGTCCAGCTTCATTCTCAGGCTGATGTTAATCACTGTAAATTTCTTAAACTTTACTGGAAGATGATGAGTGGAAAATTACTATATGAGTTGATGTTTGTGATCCTGTTTCCTTGTGCTCGTGGCAGAGTTAATTTCACAACAGGAGTCATGCAAGGCTGAAGACTGGGCAGGTGAGCTGATAGGTGAAGGCAGATACTGGTGAGCTGTAAAGTGTTTGTGAGTAAGAATGGAGTTTGAAAGTGAAGCAGTGCCACATGGACTCCTGAGTCCTCATTTCCCTTTTATGTACCTGTTTCCACTGGGTTAATAGTGGAATGTAAGGAGTCTACTTAGACCTCACATGATACGAGATTCGGTAGCTTATATTTTGGCTGTGCTCTCCAGAAATAAAGGCGCTTGTTAACAGCTTGTAGATCTCCTTACATGCCAAAGAGATGCATGGATAAAAAGGACTTTGCTCACAAAAGTTTTTCTTTGCATATGTTGAGATAATTTTATAGATCTTGGAAACAGGGTCCTATTTAGTATGCATTTTGAAGAAGAATTTAAATACTTCTGGAGTGAGTAATTGAGTCTACCTGTGGAGGTGGACCCCTTCAGGCACCAGGCTGTTCAAGCAGAAAGGTGTCTTGGTTTGACACCAACCTTGCTACATTAATTTTCCTAATACCTAAAAGACAAGCAGCTTAAGTGTGCAGAGAATAACAGCAAGAATGATTCACAGGCCCTGACATCAAGCAGAGGGCTGAAAGAAGGCCAGGATGACCCATTCCTTGTCACAGAGCAGGTGGTGAGACCATGTGCCCAAAATAAACCTGTAATTAAATTTAAGCCAGTGCAGGAATGTTGTGCATGGCAAGTTGCTGCTCTGGAATTACAGTGATTTGCACAGCTACAAGGTCCCAAGCAGCCCCTTTGCTGGCCCCCAGGTTCACACGAGCTGTGAGCACACCTTCCCTCCCCTCTTACCTTCCATACTTTGGCTGTTCTGTCTCTCTGTCATGCAGAGGGTGAGGGGAGCTGATCTGGCTCTAGAGCTGGACGTGTCCTTGCTCAGGTTTCTGTCACCCAGCTGGGACTAACACTGTGAATGAGTGTGGCTCAGAGTCAGGAATTTGGCTTTATGGAGGCACCACCAGATGCTCAGCCAGCCTTTGCACCATGTCACAGAGTTGATGCAGAGCCTTCATGCCTAAGCTATGTTGAAGTCAACTGCCCTGGAGAGAGGAAAAATCCAAATCAGACATCTGTGAGTGTGCAGCCATACTGCACAACTGTGAATCTAAACCTGGGGAATCCTCACCTTCAGTAGGTGAACAGACTCAAGCAAAGCCTAGAAAGATTTATCTTAATCCTTTGGCTTAAACTGGATGGTGGAGACTGAGCAGCTTCTGCAGTGAGTGCCAAGTCACTGGGCATCCACCAGCCTTGGCCCTGTGGGAATCCCAATGAGGGTCTGACAAGCAGCTCTGCGGTGCCCAAAATTAGTTGTGTCTGAATCCCATCACAATATAGCCTAAAAAAATTTGCCATGTCATGGCTCTGATGATTTTCCCTAAATCACATAGACCTAGTAATTTTCCTGTTGTCTCCTATGTGTTTTATTCCACACACATCCCATGTGACAGGGGATCTTGATGTTCTTGTGCTCCTTGAGCCAGGAAAGGGATTAGGAATTGCTGAACAGGTGGCTTCTGGTCACCACTTTTGAGGTGCATGAAGGATAGAGACCTCCTGGCTGAAGTTTTCCAGTGGGGTATGTAAGAAGGGGGCTCTGTGCCACCCCAGCAGCACTGCTCGTGTCTTCTTTCAGGGCATTGTTGGGGGTGAGAGTGGCCAAAGCAACGTGGGCCGAGCAACAGCAGAGAGTCCATATGGGGAGTTTTGGTGAGGGAAACTTGCAGAAAGGGATCAAAATACTCACAAAGCAGAGGTTCATGGGTAAAGGTTTTGTGGCTGCAAGTCACCTTAGATATGTGGCCAAGAACTCTAATTTTTGGTCTTGTAATAAATCAGCAGGAGCTCATAGGCGCAGTATTAAAACACTCAGTGGGCAATGATTAACAAACAGAAAAAATAGCCTCTGCTTTTATTATACAATTTCCTCTTCATGGCTGGCATTTGTTTAAAAGACAAATCAGACTGGGAAAGAGGGTATTTTATTTTTTCATGCTGCATTATCTAAGTTTACTAGCTACAAAGGAAGACAGAAGTTATAGGGAAGCATATTCCAGAGAGCAGCAAGGGAAGCACTAAAACTGGCAGACAATAAGGAGATTCTTGCTGCACTTTTTGTCATTCCAAGTGCCATCAGTGTACATCTCCACACATTCCTCCTCCCCTTTGCCAGAAGGTTCATTTGGATACCAGTTAGTATAGCTCAGCTGAGCACCATTCAGGAACTGGAATCTTCCTGGAACAAGGGATTGTTTTATCCCCAGGTAGGCGTAGGTGTTAAAATATTTCACAAAGTACAGAATGGCATCATTCTCGCCAGGGCTCTTTGGAGCAGCAATAGAGCCTCCAGCCTCTTTACATTTTTCCACTGTAGCATCGAAATTGGCTGTTTTTCCATTGGTAGCAAAGATTTTTCCTCCAGACTCTGTTATCATCTTGTTCAAATGAAGGACTGCAGGAGGAGGGAAAAGCTGTTAAATATTTGTGCATTGTTCTGTGCTTATTTTGCTGTCAATGTTAACTCTTGCTATTTTGCTCCATAACTATAGATTAGACCAGGAAAAGATAAAGGAAAGGAGAACCTGAAATCATAAAAATGAGGAGGGGATGAATAGGAAGAAACACACAGATGATGAAACAGGAGAATCACATAAGAATTTGGAGGAGGAAAGGAAATGAAGAATTTTTTTTCTAAAAAAAGCATATGATTTTCTCTGAGACTCTATAAGGCTCTGAGGTGATTTGCAGTATACCAATGTTCTTGAGTGAGTGTGATCTTAGATTTGATCTGATCATGATTGTCTTAGTATGTTTTTAGTGTTCTGTTGTCTATTGGGGGCACGAGGTGTGCATGGAGCAGCTCTGCATAGGCAGGGATTTTACTCTGGCACATTCCTGCCTTGCTTGCATTCATGATTCAGAACTGTAACCCAGGTGTCTCCCACTAGTTATGAAAATCTAATTCCCACTCCCCCACCCCCATTTGAAAGTTTTCACTCGTTGATATACCAATAAAGAAGATATAAAAGGAAAGGAATGCAATAAAACTGCAGAAAATTCTGCCTTTTTCCTAAGAAGCAATTTTTGCCCACCTGATCTATTCCCACTAACCCAGTAGCAGCAGAAAATAAAGGCAGATAAAATACCTCCTTCCAGTCTGGAAATCCGATGTTCTAATTGATGGATAGCATCCCCATGTTCATTACAAGCCAGTTGTGTGAGATCTGTGAACAAAACCAGCTCTTAACCACTTTGCTTTACAATGCCAGCCTTGGCTTTCAAATAAAGCAGAGCTCATCATCTTACTTCATAGAAGGAAATTCATATTAAGTCCTGATTATCTTATTTCAAGTAGATCACATATCAGATTATGGTAGATAGCACTGAGTTTTCAAAGCATAAAAATAGAACACACCAGATAAAAATGGAAATAACTTCATGTACCTGGTATTTGTTGTTCATTGTTGCTCCTATCTCCATAAAAAGGCTTGAAAGAGAACTTTGAAAGAAATCCTGCAGGTTTACCCTGAGCACAGAATGGGAGCAGGAAAATAGCTACTGCTAAGATTTTGTGCAGCTGTGGAGACAGCATCATTTAAAGCTAAAGGTAAACCAGACTGGTTTTGTCTCCAGTGTAGAGTCCTGCATTTTAAAAAGAGAGAATGTTTTAGAATTTTTCTGGGTGTGAAGTCTTACACATATTATGCTTTGCCTGCAGTGACATGAATACCATTCATGTAGTTGCAAAATTATTTCAGACAATTAAGATATTTTCCCAAAAGACAGTCTGCTAAGTCTATGAAAGTCTACAGAGCAAAAACCCAAAACATCCCTTCAAAGGTCTTTCCTGTACATCAGATACCATTATATGCCATTTTCCCCCCATGCAAAAACTTATAGTTTCATTTTACAGGAGACCATTAGACACATGCTGCTTTAGCAAGAGAATGTTTAAGACAAAATGGAACATGCTGTCTTTTTCAATTGGTTTAAGAGCAAAACAACTGCCAATACTTATTCTTCTACTGCAGCATCTATTTTTTAGCATCTTGGTCACCACAGGTGACATGGTCTATAAAAAGAGGTGAAATTATTAATAAAGACATTGATATACAGATCAAAATTGGAAAGTTTTATGATACAGTTTAATAGATTCATCATAGTTGAAGCAACAACCTATCTAAAGATGTTCAACTTACCTAGCAGCTCCAGTGTGAACTAAGAGAGTCATTAAATGGTCCAATTTATAGGGCATGTAACTTGAGATTTGTCTTCTTATCTACAGAGAGCACAAAGAATATATCATATGATATGAATTGGCATGTAAATGGAAAGCTAATGAACTTTAACTTGAATGATAGGGGGAAAGTTTTTTTCAAGAGGTAAACATACTTAAAACATGAGGAAAGTATTAGAAGGTACTTTTGTAACTTGTAGAATCACTTTCACAGGTTTTAAAACACCAACCCAGGAAGAGAACAAATTTCTCAATTCATATTTGAAATACTTAAAGTTTCCACAGAGTGGCTGTGCAAATGCCACAGAACGAGTGTCATAACCAGCCATAACAAGTTCATCTGAAATACAATATTCACCAGGAACACCACCATAATTTTTGTTACAGACTGAGGACTTACCAGTGATAAAATGACCAAAGTCTCGTAACTAAACAGAATCTCACAATTGTAGCAACAAATGACAGTGGTGCATCTGCAGCACATGTAGAGGAGACAGCTAGAGAGACACTTGCTAAAATATAGAACACTCCAGGGGAAATTTATGTGTCAAAAAGAGCAGTTTTCTCTCAGTGAAGGAGAGGCTGCTTTATGCCAGTCCTGTAAGTACAGAATCCCAGGACGAGGAGCATCACTGAAATGGAGATGGCCTTGCCAAGGATTTTACAGCTGTTCTCAGCAGAACAGCGTGCAGGGAAGACTTTGAGGAAAGGTGTTTGAGTCTGTGCTCAGTTCAACCAAGTCAGATGTGGCCACATCACACTTGTGGTGTCAGGCCAGCATCCTGATGTTGCAGCAAAGCCACCAGCCAAGCAGCTGGGGAGTGAAATGCTGTGAGGCTGCATGGGGAATGTCAGCAGTAGCTGTATTAGTCCAAGGTGCTCCTGGGGCTAAGCAAGGCCAGATCACCTCCACAGGCACTGTGCACCCATGCCCTGCTCTTCCACACTGCCCTCAACCTCTGATGTGTGCCTCAACACCTTTGTCCTCGGTGGAGTGCCCACAGATGCTGGATTAATCCTGCTGCATTGTTTATTGAGTACCCTTGAGTGCACCATTCCTGTGAAAAACAAATAGGCAGGACCCAGTTTTATGCACATTGACGGAAGAGGGCTGTTTTAAATTTGCACAAGTTACCTTTGTTTCAAGTTTCTTGTCAAATTTCAAGTTTCTTAGCTTTTGAGTGCTTGATGTAATGCTTTCAACATTCTTCTGGCAGAGGTTTTTTAATTGATATTTTTTGGGGAAAAAGCCCCACCAAAATCAAACAGAACATGAGACAAGCCAGTACCTGGGTTCTAGATGAGCCCTGGAAAAGGTCACTGGCAGACCCTGGCCCTTTGCATCCATGGTGACAACAACTTGAACATTTAAGTGCACTTGGAAGAAACCACAATTTAGGAAATTACGAGAAGGGGAGGAGGTTTGGCCTGTGGTTGTGAGTTTCACATGCTGACTCAGGACCTGGGAAACCAGGAGGGGGACAAAATGTTTCTTGTGATAGACTCCTGAGGAAAAACTGATTTAGATTTGATAAACTATAAACCTTTCTTGTCTTGATTTTCATCAACTATTAATAAGATGGTGCAAGTTAAATAGATATTTAAATACAGCTTCATTTCTAATATGCTTGTTTCTGATTGTCTAATAGAATATTTTATATAACTACCATAGATTTTTTGATATTTCCTTGAAGCACATATCACAGAGGTGTAGCAAGATTCAAGGACACAGATCTGATGAAGAACAAACTATTTTTGAGTACCAAGGTAACTTTTCTTCAGTTTCCACATCAATCAGTAAGAGGTTTATATACTTTCAGTGGCAGTGAAGCAAATGACGGATATTCTGAGTAGGTTGTGTTGTGCAGTGTAGGTAGGCAAAGGCAAAATCTGCTAAGGACAAAGTTTAGCTGCTCTGAGAAATGTAGACAGAGCTGAATAGTAGAATGGCTGTGTGCTCCTTCTATAAGCCTGTTTGTTAGCCTTTCCTTGGTATACTTAGTCTCCTGAAAGTTAGGTTTTGTCTTTCATAGTGTTATTCACAGGTAAATTTAAAAATTATTTTCTTATTCTTATTTTCTTATTCTCTAATTATTATTTCTGTATTTAAATGCCCCTAACCTCAGCAAGATTTTCTGTTTAAGTTGATTTTGTTCTGTTCTGCTGTTGTTTCCACCCTACCTTGTTTCCACCTTGTTCTGTGTTTTCTGCATCTTTTTTTTTTCTCTTCCAAATAATTGTCAGACTGTCCCCAGCAACTCTCTCATGCCTGGGAATAGCAGGAAGAGCACAGAACACAGGGAGACACGAGGTCCCATTTCTCAGAGGCGGGCTAAGGCTATTTTTCCTGAGCACTAAAAGCAATTCAGCAAGATGTAGACACTTGGGACAGCAGACTTCAACAGGCATTTTTAAAAATTTAATTATGAGCAGCATTTTAGAGCAGAAAGTCTTAATTTCACCTGTGATCAGTGCACATGAATGCTACTGCCATCATGCCCCATGGACTTAACTGCAGGATCCAGATGTCTCTGGTATGTTACTTGGTGCAGCTCAGCTGAGAAAAAATACAGAATCTGTACAGCCAATAGAAAGCAGGAAAATATCTCATTTCTTTAATAGTCGAATAGTTCCATTGCCACAGCCTCCTCAAGGGTTAAGGTACCTTTGCTCTGCAGTGTTGTTCAGCTCCTGAGCCACAAGGGCAGAGAAGGGTGAAAGCTTCAGTCCAGGTTTCACTTGGCATCACACCTGGCTACAACCCTTGAGGGAAATTCTGCCAAGCCCTGGTTTCCTAACAGGGAATTCAAAAAAACATCCCAGTCCTCTTATCATTTTTTTAAGGTGCTACTCTAATTTTCAAGAATCTTGTATCTATTGTGTTTTGGAATCAGCTGTGTTTGTGTAGCTGTTGGCTAATAGGATTTTATAAAAATATGCTTCAACTTCCGATAATGAAAAATCACTTGTAACCTGATACTCTGAGGTACAGCTCACAATTTATACAAGATAAGGGAGCCCTGGCAGCCTGTGTCACATCCTGCCAGTTAGGTTCACAAAAGGTTGAATTTGAGCTCAGTTTTCTCAAGATCCATGGGGTTTTTTAATCAAGTTTCTACAAAAATCAGAAAAATTTGTTTTTGTTGGAATCAATGATCAATTTCTTCACATGTGGTAGGGATGGATGGGGGCTGGTGGGAGGTTTTTGAATGCTTAAAATTCCTAATAGCACTTATAAGCTGAAATAACTAATTACATTACACCATTATAAAAGAGGATATCATTCTACACCAGAGACAATTCTTTCTGAAATAAATATCCATAGTTTTTTGGCCCAAGTCTTATTGTTAATCATACCGTATTAACTGTATTCAATTTCTGTTATGTGAGACAGGATCCACTTGTCTCAAAAGGCTTGGAATGTTTGGCATCTTTTTACTTGTACTAGGATCTTAATTCTTAAAACCAGCTTCATTTGGGGAATAACTAATTTTCTGATTTAGTGGTCTTAAATTTATGTTGTACTTCTGTAGCAAATTATTATAAATGAAGAAAAAAAAGATTAACTTGGATTTTTCCTGGTCTGGTCATTATACATAAGGAATTGTTGCTCATTGCACCTTTAAGGAAAGATTTTATCAAAAATATTTATATTATAGTAATATCACAGAAACAATGTACCCAACCTCTGTCCATTAAAAAAAGTTAATACATAAATGAAGAATTCAGATCTTTCAAATGCTGGTGTTCTAAATAGCATTTGAGGGTATCAACTGATAGGTTTATACACCAACACACACAAAAAGAAGTCATATCAAAATTTAAAAAAAAATCAATTTCTAGATATTTTTTTCTCTGTGGAACTGCAAAGAATAATCAAGCAACATTACAGATCAAGTGTGAACGATACAGAGGAAAATACTGTCTAGCAGTTTCTGGCTGGATCTGAGGAGCTTTTATTTTTCAGCAGCATGTATGTGTTTAATTTGATTTTTTTCTCCTTTTTTCAATAACAATGGCTAAAGCAGAAGAAATGGGGTTTTTAGACCTAGCTTAGATAGTTTGCTTAGTGATGTAATAAATACTAGCCTGTGACTGGAAAATAAAAATCTCATTTTTCTTAACTGGATGAAAAACACCCTGCTGTCTTGAAGTCTAAATCTGTTTAGATAGAGAAGTCATACTGTGCTTAAACATATGTAAAATATTTTTACTCACTAAGGGTCTTAACAAGAGATTGCTTGTTAAGTGATTTTGCAAACCCCAATGTGGCAGAAATAAATTTTTCATTAAATAAAGGAATAGGATATCCCAAAGCTATTTGGAGATATATGTAAACAAATATACTTTTTCTGTTCACAGAATCCTGCTCTGCTCCCTTGGCAGTTGGAGCGCTGCTGCAACCTGGAGATGAATCGTCCCTTGCCAAAAATTTGACAGGGATGGGAATTTGCAATGAACAGGAATAAATCCTACCTCTCTTCCTTGTGGGAGGCTTGGGAACATCTGGGACTGCCCAGAGTCAAGTCCAACTTCCCAGGGGCTTCCTGCACAGAGCCAAATGTGGGGGAGGAGATTGTGTTTATTGCATGAATTTTAAAACTTAAAAGTGCTTTCTTCCCCCCGCTCAGGTGGTGTATAAATGAGGATGGATGAGCCCAGGACTTGCTCACTGCAAGGTAAGAATGTGAGAATTTGCTGCTCATGGTACTCTGCTCAGCTGCCCCTGCTCACCAGCTGCCCAAATGGAGTAGCAATGAAAATATTTTGTGAAAACTTGCTTCTTGATGCTACCAGATTTGAATCGAAGTCTGTCTGTGCTGTTGTTTGCAGCAGAGATGATGTTATATGTATGTTCAGTATTTGAACTGAACTTCCACTCTTAGTTGCCTTCCCAAAATATTATCTGCTTTACTCAATGTTTTGGGAAAAAAACAGGTGGTCTTCTAACACTGCAATCTCTTGGTTGTCTGAATGTGCTGTTTTAGCAACAAAATGCAATTTTTATCATTTTATACACTTTATCTACTTGAATTGAGTGCAATATTTATCTTTGTGTTTTATAGAGAGTGGCCTCTGAAACTAGAAAAATTAATTGTAACTAGTATTATTGATATTTTTATAAAACAAAAGGTGGATACCAATGAATCAGTGAGTGGTTCAATGTGACACAGGCTCTGTGATTGAAAGTGATGTCCAAAACCTGAAACTATCATTGCTACAGTGAAGTCAACCTCTGTGCATCTCTTTTGAGGCAGAAACCATTAAGTACTTCAAAATGCTTCCAATTATGATGCCATAGGCAATTTTAACTTCAGCATTTCCAATATCCCAAGTCAAACCTTGGAATTTTCCTCTAATCTTCAGAAAGGTATGGAGACAGTCTGCCATGAGAAATGAATTCTGAGGTATTCCCAACCCTCCAAAAGGGAGAAACACATCAGGCACATCAGTTCAGGCACTTTTTAATCATGTTAATCACCTAGTACATTTGGAATTTTCCTAAGGCTAAAAAATATCACAATATGGTTCATCTTATATTTTAGGATACAGAGAAATTGCAGAAATTTAATCAACTTGAAAAACAGATACTTCATTATCTCCATGCTCTGAGGTGCCTGAAAGGCCATTCTTTAGAATTCACAGATTGTGAGACGGTACATATTGCATTTTTTGTCATTCCAGGTGCCATCAGTGTACATCTCCACACATTTCTCATCCCCTTTGCCATTAGGCTCATGCTGGTGCCAGTTGCTATAACTCAGAGGCAGGCCATTTACAGACTTAACCTGACCTGAAGTCTCCTCCTTTCTAATGCCCAAGTAAGCATATTGGTTATACTGTTTCACAAGGTCCATAATGGCTTTATTCTCCTCCTCATTCCTGGGAGCTGCAAGAGTTCCTCCAGCCTCTTCACAGGATTGTAGTGCAGATGCAAAGTCAGCTTTCTTCCCGTTGCTAGCAAGTATTTTCTCTCCTACTTTTCTTATTTTCCCATTCAAAGCAAGCACTGAAACATGAAAAGAGTTAGCTTCGTAGATTCTCTACGGCATACTGATGTAAAAGCAAAGAAAGTGAAATCAAGAGATGAAAACTAAAAGTGCTACAAGGAACAGAGGGAAAAACTGAGCTAAAGACGAAGAGAAATAAAGATCTTTAATTTTACCCATTCACTAACTGTTCACTAAATATATTTTGCTGCTTGTGACCACCTGTCCTTGTCTTCAAGAAAAGAAGGTACCACCAACATCTGCTAAATATCAGCCCTGTTATATTTTGTGTACTTTCTAAAGATCAGTGCGCTACAGATTTGAGCAAGGGAAACAGAAAAATGATAATTGTTTTGTGAATCCCTTTTCATTACAAAACAACTTACCACCTTTAACAATCTGGTTGCTGATAGATAAAAGTGGTACAAGACTGAGTTTCCATGAGTCATGTGGAGCGTGCAATATCAAGTAGTCAGAATATTTTTAAAAATAAATCAAATTTGAATAAACATGCACTGTGATTGCCAAGAGGAATCTGCTTCTCTCCAGGGAAACCAGAATCCTGGCTTCCCCTGCTTTGAGTAAGAAAGTGGAGTTTTGGAGTGTAGTACCCATTCCAAATGCAGTTTCTTTCCTGCAAGTCGTGATTCTGTAACTAACTTTGCCTATTGCACTTAAAATTGATTGTGAGCTGAAAAAGAAACCAGGGGAAGAATTACCAGCCTCAAGTTGGAAAAGTCGGTGTTTCAGGTTTGCTAAAGCATTGTGGTTGCTGGCCAGAGAATCAGGCAGACCTATACAGATAAAAACAAAAGTTATACAGTTATACTAGGCTGTGCTGCTAGGAACAATCCCCTGGATAAAATCAATTACTTTCCAGAACTAACTCGCAAAAGTATTTTTAACATTAACAAGTGTAAAATATTTTCCCAGTATTTCTTCACATTGTTGTTAATTTAGATTAAAGAAAACTAACAAAAACATCCAATCCTCTGAAATGCTGATAATTGCCCTCTTTCGAAAAGAAACTGAAAGGTTGAAAAAAGAAGCTTCACAGGTTGAAGCCTTTCGCTAGTTATATCTGTGAAACTGGCTTTGCCAAAGAGAGGTTTCATTCTATTAATTGGTAGTGAACAGGCACGAGGGATCCTTTGAGGAAGAAACAGTTTCTATGGCACCGTGTGGTTTTCTTTTTAAAGTGCTGGTTGTAAGCTTTGTGTTGGTCTTGCTTTAATGGGAGCTATAAACAGTGGTAGTGGAAGGTTTCTGGATAGTGTGGAATACATCCAGCACTGCTTGCTAAAGATGGGAACCCACTGTAAAGGGAGACTATTTCCTATTTTTCATTCCACTTTCCACAGGTAACAGAGGTCCTACATGTAGAATAAAGTCACTGATGTACTCCCATGATCACAATCCACAATTCACAGCTGAAACTAAGAGCAATGTAGAAGCACAAAAGGCTGCTGCATCCCTGAGCTGTAACATTGCAGCTCTTACTGCACTTCACAATCCATTACAGAAACCCCATATGTGACCTAATCCAGGGAGTCTGGCAATAATTCTGATTGTGCTTTAGCCTTGCCAGCAGACCTGGAGAAAGCATTTCTACATATATATAAAATATTTATATGTTAGTGTTTCTTCCCTCAGAAGAAAGAGGAGACCTGTTTTTAGAAAAAAAAATAAACTGCCCTTTTCCTGCATTCTCTTTTTCTTCCTGTGCTTAACCCATCTGCTTCCTTGAGAGCACATGTCCTTCTGCATTATCTGTGCTAGTCATGCAGCCTTTGTGATGTGGATCTCCTGCAAAAGAGACAAGTTTGCTCACCTTTCACACCATCCCTTCCAGGGACACCAGGTAGCCCAGAAATTTCTGGACATTTGCTCAATGCATGGCAAGTCACTGACAAAGAAGCCAGTGCTATGAGGATGTAGGATGAGTAAGACAACATGATTTCTCAGGCCAGCTGAAAAAAAAAAAAAACCCCACATTTGTCAGGCAATGATTCTGTAAGAAATTGTAGGCATTGGTTTACACAGCTGCATGCTCTCTCCCATCATCCCTTCTTGAAATTTACATTATTTCCTTGTTTAAATAAAGTTTATATTTCAGGTGTAAGAGATTTCCCAGATGTATTTTGCAACTATGGTGTACTCTTTATGCACAGAACTCTTTCTAGACTCATAAACTTGGAGTAGTGAAGATAAATTATCCCTTTCACTGTCACTGACTATTTGTTGGATTAATCCTTGAGAAATGATAGGCTCAGAGGTAATTGATCACTCTTAGGCATTAGCTGTCTGCAAGGACTGTAATCACTCAATGATGCATAGGATATGAACCTGAAAGGCAAATCTCTTACAGGGCTTCTGGTAATGTTTGGGAGCTTGTTAAAGCACAACACTATCTAAGCACATTTATTTGGCATAAACTGATACTGTTTTACACGTGTGCAAAACTTTATAGCTCAATTGACATTCCTATCCTGCTTTGAACAAAATTACACAAGCTTGAAAATGTCAGTTAATCTTGTAGAAAATGCATTTTTGCTGGTTGGCAATGGGCTTATTCGTCTTATTTTATCCCGACAGATAAAACAATAACTAGGGTTATAATCTTAGTGCTGAGCTATTGTGACTAAAAAGCATTTTAAAACTGTACATTGTGGGTTTACAGCAGATTGAATGGATGTGCTATGCAGCTGTGAAACCTGAAGGACTGTAAGATACTATGGCATAGAAATATCCAGTTATTGACATAATTCAGTTAAACTAACAGGAGATACAAAGAAAGGTTCAAGATGCTTGAATGGATATTTATTTCCAATGGGGTGATGCTCGTGGGTTGACTTACACAATTAATGTGCATTACTTTATTTTTTTATTTGCACAAATCAAAGAGGATCCTGTACCTGTTCTCTCTTAAAAGAAACTTACATCTTTTTTTAAAAAAAAATCAGCATTTACACATCTAAATCTAGATCCACTTAAAATTTAAAATAAAAACTTGGCTTGAATGCTGTAAGATTATTAACACCTAGGCTCATCAAACTATAACAAGGTATTTGCTATTACATTTCAAAGTATATAAGCCAAGCAGAATAAAAATATCAGTCTAGTGTCATTTACTAAGCGAGGTGAGCTTTTAAAAGAAAAAGCATTGTTTATATCTTCCATATGATCATCAGCAGGTACATGTTGTAATTGCATTTCCTTATGTCAAGGATGTCAGTATTCCTAGCCACCTAAGGTAGGTTTCTGTTAGGGCCTTGAATAACCTTCTCTCTCTGAGTCACTGGCCAGTGTTTCCAGAGGTGTCTCCTGGCCTTCAGTAAAGGGCAAACAATTGCTTTTTTCACTGTTATAGAAGACTTTTGAGATTATTTTTAATCTGCATCAACACCAACTTGTTTTTCTAGGGGAATGTCTCATCAACCTCAATCTGATGCGACATACCCTTGAATATACAAATATTCAATTATGTCATAAATTTGCAGCAAATAGGACCTGTTTAACTAATAGCAGTATGGTCAAGAATTTGCACTTTAAAGAATGCAAAACCAAATCCACCTGAGAACACATGTGCAGTATTAAAGGTGCTGTTGAGTTTAGTTTGTTGAATTTGAAGCATCTCAGTTGTTTACCCTTCCTTGCAGGCCAGCAGACACCTCTGGAAACACTGGCCAGTGACTCAGAGAAAGATTATTCAAGACCCTAACAGAAACCTACCTTAGGTGGCAAGGAATACTTACATCCTTGAGATAAGGAAATGCAATTACAACATGTACCCTTTGCCTGGTGATGATCATTCAGGGAATTACATTTGAATGGACTACTGCATCCAGTTCATAATTGGATCATTATGATGCAGAGTCAGACTCCTGATCAGTTATATGGCAAAATTGAAAAAACACAGCCCTTCAGTTTTAATGACCTTCATCAGTCATTACTATCTAGTGTCCTTCAGGCATCCACTTATCTACTAAAATTGCTAGTATAAGCAAAGTAAAAAAATTACTAATAAAGGGAAATCTAATTTCAGAACGTAAATATGACCACAGAAATCAAAAGGAACAGGTTTGCCTTCTAGATGAAATTCTTTGTGATTTATTAAAAGGAAATTCAACTTACCCTTCTGCTTCAAAATGAAATGAAAAAGCAGTTCACACAAATCCCCTTTATATAGTGTGGTGTTTGCTAAATGATATGGCTCAAGTGGAGACTGGATACTGAGGCCATGAGTGAGCTTTTTCAGTTTTGCTCATATATTTGCTATGCAAACACTGAGGTCAGTTTTAAGGGTGGAGAAATTTAATTTTTTTTAACAAAATAAAGTCAAAGTTGTAGAAAATATAATCCAGAACTAACAGATAACCCCAGATTGTTAGACACAAAAGACATAAAAACGTAAAGTAACTTTCAGCAATTCTAGGTCATATTTTTAAGTTATTGTTTCACAAAAGCAAAAAATGGCAGATGACCACCAGTGGCTCTTGTAAAAGGAAAGATACGCTTGTAATTTATCTTAGGGAAGCCTGGTACATTCCAGATAGTCTGACCAAATAATCAGAATTCCAAACTTTCATCCCCTCTCTGTATCTGACGTACTTATCTTACCTTAATACAATTTTCTAGCTATGTGCTAGAATTCTCATTCTGGTCTCTCTTGAACAAGACAGCTCATCCTCTGTTGGTCAGAGATGGATCTTGGAAAAAATCTGTATATATGCACAAAATTCTCAAATGGACATAATTTTCAAGGAGAAAAAAAAACAAAAAACAAAACCACAAAACCCACAAAAAAACAAAAAGAAGAAACCAGAGGTTCTGCTCCTCTTGCTTCCCAGAAAGAAATATTGGGATTTTGTAACTTCCTTCTAGTTCTGATGCATTCTACTCTAGAATGTTTGATCCTAGATGGGGTTTGTTTTATAAACCTTAGCAAGTCAACACATCAGTGCCTCACCTGAGAGATAGAAATACCTCAGCTTCACAGATTTTCTGTGTTTTGTCAGTTTATACTGTGGTCTCTTAAAGATAGGATGTTTTCTATTATTCATTGGAATTTTACATAAAGTATTTGTCATCATCCCTAATAATAGTGTTATAGTGTAACTCTCTCTGAATAATTCCAGCAGGATTCACAGCTGCAAGCTGACATCTTTAGCCTCCCTGCTCAGCAATTAGAGATGTTTAATACCAACTGGCTGACCTAGCCAAGATAAAATACCAAAGCAGAAGATACATTTAGGATTCCCCTTAGACACAGTGCAGGCACTTAAATCCATTTCCATTCACAACTGTGAGCCTTGTCCTCCAGTTAAAAGTGCCCAGCATGGCCCGTTCTCCATCTCAAAAACCCCCACAAATAGCAAACTGAGGATGTGGCAAGTTTCCTTCTTAGCAAATGATCAGTTAACACTCACAAATGTATGGTCTAGACAATCTATCTTCAAAGTCCTTCATCTACCAGATGGGCAGCAGAGATCTGAATGCAGATTAATCCTTTTACACCACCAATAGAAACTATTACTCTCTGTAGTCCAGATGAGGTAGATGTAAAAAACTGGTGTTGAGTGCATAAAATGTGGATTAGACAATATCTAACAGATAAAATATTTTTTTCCAATTCCTGATGCAGTTTGGAAATAGCACAGATACCAGACACTTCAGCATAGTCAAAGACACATGTAATTCTGTATCTGGATGGCAGTAGACCTCTGGGGTACATAGGAAATTTCTTCAATTCAGAATAAGATGAACTTAATGTATCCAGATATCGAGAAACAAAATTTTAAATTACGAGGTGTCTAAGTTCTTGGGAATGTTACCAGAACAAATCTCAATAGATCCAATTTCTAGGCAACTCTGCAATACCTGTAAGGGCTAGTTTTTCTGCTGCATCATTGCATATACACGCAGCTCTAATACATGAACATGGTAAGTCTCTGGAGATTTGTACTGTTTCTTCCACCTAACACAGTTTATATTATAAGAAAATTAAAGAATTGAAAACATTAAACAGGGAGATCAGTAAAGCTCCATTAGCTTATCTCTATCCATTTATGAAAGTGTGGCATGGCTTATGATCTAGGAAAACCTTATCAATTACTATATTTTGGTAAAACTTTTGAAGAAAGATACATTTGATAACAGTTGTTCTCCCATGAGTCAGATCATACTAGCACAATGGAATCTGATAAGAAATCTAAAACTTAATCCAACATGAGAGATTACTTAGTCATTAGATTTACCTTCCTTAGTTATGCAGCAGAGAATGAGGGAAAACAAACTCAAACAAGGAAGAAAGAAAATTTTTTTTCTGTAACCTAGCATCCCTGTAGAATAGCTGGGATGGGAATTCTGAAATTTGCAGGTAAACCTGTGTGGTAATGGCTGAAGGCCTTTAGCTGAGAAACACCCACAAAACTCAGCCAGGCAACTTTAATGGTTTCAGTGGACCCCAGATACTTCATGCCTCTTTCTATCATTAGGAAGAACCATAAGAATGTTAAAAATTATGTGCCAGAGTGGATTAAACCCAAACCCTGCTCAACTCTCAGCAAATGAGAACTTGGGGAGAAAATGGAATCTAATTTTTAAGATGTAGCCAAAAGGACTGCTTCTTTCTGTAACAGCTCTGCATGCTACCCTCAAAAAACTAACTGCCAAGGGGGTTTCAGAACCAGAGTGAATTTTATACATCTTTCAAGCCTCTCATTTTCAGAACACAAGGTAAACTCCTCATTTTGCTGTTTTGAAGCAAGCTGATTATGGTAACTTAGCATATCCTGATCTGTGTAAAGCTATGCCATAGTCTTTCACATAAAATAGTGATATACAGCCGTGCTAGTTTATATTAGCAATTTGTGAGACAATAATTTAAAGTGTGTCACTGTGCCCCAAGTTCCTGGTATCGACTCTGAGCGAGTCCTTGGTACAGCATCTGTGTGGTAAGCAGGTGTGGTCAATTCTCCATGTTTACCTCTTTCAAAACAATAGCCATTTTTTATATTTGTATTCTAGTATTTCCACTCTAAGTTATTTGCTGAGCTTTAAATCATACAGAGTTAAGTGTTTATAGTTAGTTTTAAGAGGGCTTATTGGCATCAGCATAAGACTTTATCAGAAATACAGGGCACTAAGCATATGTCACCTCTTATGTCACGAAACAATCCAGTAGGTGAAGTGTTACCTCCTCCCCTCCTACAATTCAATTTTATTGACATAAAACCAAACAAAAATATGGCAAGTTCAACAGTCCCCCATAAGAAACACTGATAAAATAGTTTGTATGCTAATTTACAGAACAGTGAGGAAGGAATTGGAGGAAAAAATGTAGACAGTGTGGCACTTAACCACACTGCTAATACCGAAAGAAAATTCTGCTGTGTGTGCCCTGGACCTTAACTTGAGGATAAACATCTTAGAGGAAGATTATGATTGCTAATGAGACCTGTTTATATTTATGAAAAAAACACATGGCATCAGAGAAATGCAGCCAGCTCAATAATACAGTTATTTTGGGGAGTGGATCCCAGGGAGATTTTTACATCTAAGTGTACACAGGTGGATGGAGAAAAAGAAGGAATAATGAATATAGATTATGACCTTCCAAGCAGAGATGAGGAACAGAGCTTGGAGCATTGGATTTTAAAAAACTGGCTTCACCAGACTGAACTGAAACTTAACCCTAACCCAAATCCCTTTTAATCTATGAATTTTCTATTCTAAGAAAAACAATTAAAACTTTGCTATCAAGAAAAGAGATGGCCAGATTTCCTTTTTTTAAAATATAGTCATGGTTCTCTCCTGCCAAAGAATCTGCAACTTAAGCCTATGTTAACAGAACTACTTGGCCTTTGCTTTCAGATTATATTAGATTCCTTCTCTCTCATATACTTGAAATAATTGATTTAAACTACAGATATCCAAGTGGTCTCTTGGGTTTTATGAAAATTGTAGGCAAGTCACTAGAGTAAAGTCATTTTGACTGAACTATTGTTTCTATGCCTTCAATTAAAAAAGGAGAAAATCAAATAGAGCACATTAAAACAAATGCCTCAAGCAGCTCTTGTTTTGACAATAACAGATTTTTAGACATAGCCTTATTCCTTCCTTTGGGCAGGACAAGTGGTCTTCTCTTCTCCCTTCCTGTTTATTTTATCCAGGTTTAGTAAAAATTTGGACCATACTATAATCAGCTTCTGTCTCGTCCTTTCATAAACAAACAGAAACCGGAAATATTTCACTCTAAATTCACAACCTAGTAATGTTTTCAAGTCTGTTTCTTACCTGTTTCAGAGCTAGAATTACTAAAGTTTAGTGATTTTATTCCTAGGATCACTGAGGAATCCTGGTTTTTTCCCTCAGATCATCAAGTCACCGTTTTTATCCTGTAGGACACATTACCAACTTGAATTTCTCCTTTCATCTTCTGCACCAAGCAGCCCTCTTACAGGAATGCTACATAACAGTATGGGGCAGGATTCCTAATCTTTGTTCAACAGCACAAGGAAATGACTCACTGCAATGTCAGGCGTGTCACAGTGGAGTAAATATTGCCTTCTTCCACTGGGAACAGGGCAAAGAGTAATGCTGGAGGTGTCCTTCTGCTTTCTGTTCCCACAGAGATGAACTGGACCATTTACCTCCCACCAAAAGTGGTAATAAGAAGCAATTTATGCTTGAACAGCCACTGGCCAACATTACCTTGGAAACATATGCCTGTAATTCATATCTTGCCCTTATGAATAGCCACCTGGCTCTTGTTATCAATTTAAAATAATCTAACCTGCTGATAGAAAAAAAAAAAAATTGCCAAGCTCTTATTATGTTGTTATTGCTGGGAAATGTCTGTGTAATGTCTCTTTGACAAATGTTAGAAAATGTGTATCCAAAAGCATTGTCAATGTTTTATCTGCAATTGAAATTCAAAGTCCTTGGGAGAAACTTGTTGTTGAAAACACATGGCAGAAAATACAGAGTAGCAAAGGAAAATAATGAACTTACCAAGCTACTGTTAAGGTCTGATGATCACAGTGAAATGAAGCTGCTTTGTATTTTACTGAAGGGACACAACCATTAATGAATTCTCAGCAAACACCCCTTATTGTGGCTTTTATTGCTGTTATGAGCTGAAAATTAAGATAACAGGTATTACAGAATTCCATTATCCATAGACTTTTTCAGAATAGTGAAGACAAAATTCTCTCTGTTTTAGCTGATCATGTTGTTGGAAGCACACAGATCTTAAAATACCAAATCTGCTTCTTTTGCACATGCTTAGATTCTAATTTGTGCAAAAGCAGGGGAGCATTTTATAGCAGACAGCTAGTAAAGTACTTCATCATTGCAGTTCCCCTGAAAAGCTGGGCTGGTGAGGCTCAGCCCTGCATCCACCCAGCTCCTGCAATCCCACGTGCTGGTCCTGTGCTTCACCCCCAGATGCAGCTCTCAGTGCTGGGGCTCAGGCTGCAGCAGCCAGGGGTGCAGTGCTGCAGTGCTGACATGCAAAGGACAGGCTGTAAGTGCCCAAGGAAGCAGATTAATCTCCTCACCTTTGATTGATACATCTCAGCTGACTTGAAACTACATAAGGTGCAGATATTGCAAAGGCTTCAGTGCAGAAATATTCTTGGAAGGTTCCTGTAAGGGTAAACAAGAAAAGCTCTATTTAAAGCCCCTTGAAGTTTAGCTAGTAGATAAAAACAAGCAACAGATGAAGACTCAAAGAAATAGAAATAAAACAAACAGGAATGAACAGAGTTCTACACCCTCAGAATCTCTCTCAAGAGATGGGAAGATGTTGAATGTTGCTTGAGGCCAAAATGATTCAAACTGAAATCGCTTAGTAGGTTATTAAAACACAGCAGACTTAACTTGAATGACAAATCAAAGAGAATATTTAATAACTCTGAGAAATGTAATAACCATGAATGTCAACTACTTAACTAATAAAATATCATTTTGTTATTCCATGGGGGTCACCCTTTACAGCCTTTATTAGTAGCTTTATATATAAAGATTAAGCACTATTTTTGTTAGTAAGATACAAGAAACTCCACACAATTATTATTAATAATTTTAGCTACCTATTCTAGTACAAAATATACCTTTTATAGTATATGAAAGAATTATATTTATTTATAAATTACTTTTGGCACTCTTACTTGGATTTGAGGACTCATTCTGGGCAGACAGGAACACACTTGTTTCCCAGGAGTCGGAATCTACACAAGAACTCTTCAAACATGCTTATTTTTTTCAAGTCTCATTATTTGTCTGCCTTACCAGAACATCTCAGAACATTTCTAGACCAAGCTAGAAAACAGGTTTTCCCCAGCTGTGCCTGTGCTCAGCCCTGTGCACAGCCCAGGCTGCTGGGTACAATGGAGTGCCTCTTTCACAGGGTCAGACCATTGCATTGTTCCCATGACAATCCACTAAAGCTGAAGTGATTTTAAGTATTAGTTCATAAAATTTAGTTTTCAAAACCTGGAGAACAACTATGCTCCTGTTTTGGTACCTGTATCACCATGCCAGTAGTACATTGCATTTCTCTAGCATCTATCTTCCCACACAAATGGGGCCCAACTGTTTAATCACTGACATCTTTTTTTTTTTTTTTTTTACCTTTCCTGAGGAACATACTTTGTGACTGTTACAGAGATAAAAGATGTAAACTATTATATTTTGAACAACTGACACAGTTTGCCAGAATCAACACCAAATTCAGAACTATTTTGGGAGTATTTTTCAAAAATAAACCTTAGGACTGCAGCATTCAAAACCACTGGAGAGCTTCCAGTAACTCAAGAGAAAGACTAATATACAATTTTCAGTGAAGTCAAATACATAATACACTACAGCACTGCAGATACATTTGAAATATGTCTTAAATAGCTTTTATAACTGCTATTGTGTGAGGAGCTGAAAACTTTTCTTGCCATCCAGTCCTGCCATATTGCTGCCAACACTTAATGCCCTCTTATTAAAAATACAGGTTTTACTTTATGATAGAATTTAAAACATGATGTTATAAAGAAATTAATATTTTCACTTTGTTGGTAGAACTTTTCCATTGAAAGGCTTTTAACTTTTCTTCACCATTAGTCATGAAAGCTAGAAATGCACTTCACTCATAAAAATGACAGATGAGATTCCCCAGCTTGAAGCTAAATACCATGTAGTAGAAAATAACAGCCCATAGAGGACAATCAGAGGCTGCAAGATAATATTTGCTCCACTAGTTTTTGATGCATAAATAAAAGCTCCACTTAACAGGCTTAGGAAGTACCAGAAATACTCCCCTTTTTCCATTTTAGCTGCAGCTCTAGAATAAAAAGGTAAAGAAGTAAAAGGATCTTAAAAGTACATAATTTCCTCCTGTCTTTCTGTGAATATGTATGGTTGCTTAGGCAGGGTGAAGAGGGTGTAAGGGGCTGGAGAAGTTAATAGCTTGTGATCTGTAGGCAATGTAGTGCTGGTCAAACCACTTCTGAATGGGACACCTTCACACAGGTGTCATTGGACACGTCAAGTGCAAGACAGGAGATAATCAAGAGAGTAACTAATGTAGACAAGATGATTTTGCTGAAGAGGTTTCAGGAGTTCCAACTAAATTTGGTGAAACATTGTGTCCATCTCAGCTAAAGAAGCTTGCATGGTTTAGCTTCTCTTACATAAAAAGAAAACTTTGAATTATAAATGTGCTTGGGTATAATTCTTGGGGCAGGATGGAAATTTGCATAAAACCTTTTTTTCTACATAGCTGAAGCACAAGGCAAAGGTGGCCAAGTGTTGTAGCACAACCATGCAGGTGGGAAGAAAGGGAAAAGATTCTGTTCAGGATCCTCCCAGGTAAGATCAGAAAGCCTGATGAGGAGAGGTACCATGAAACCCTGCAATTCAGGCTGCTGCACTGCTGAGCAGGTGCAGGTTTGCATGAATCCCAACGCAGCAATCTGACTGAAATCAGACACCTAAACCTGGGTCGACTGCTGCTCTCACATTCTGTGTATTTAGTCCGGCTTCTTAGAATTTTATCTGAATTGAAACACCCTGGAAGAGGATACCAACCATTTGTAGAGTCTTCCTCCCACTGCAAACATGCCAGAAGTTTCTTGCAGGATGCACACACAGGCTCAGCTCTGAGGGACAAGCTGTGCCACCAGCTGAAGTCATAAACAAACCAGAGCTCACAGAAAGCCAGGAAAGAGCTCTTACAACTGTCTACCCTGAAGCACTGATCTAAACAGCTCAAGCTACTGATGTCTGAATCTTCACTGGGGTCACAGGCCATAAAAAGAGATTTTAACTGCAGGTGCCCCAGGAAAAAGTCATTTGTGCTAGAGAGAGCACAGAGCATCCAGTCATGCTGCTAGTGTTGAGGGGTTCAGCAGAGCTTAAAGAAACACAAGGCTGTGCCTAGGTTTCCAGGCAATCTTGCATTGTTTATTCCCCTGAGCATTTTTGGCCAAACTGGAACCCAGAATCATTTTTCACTCCTTAGGTCTCCTGCTGTCAAGCAACAGAGCAGAGCCATTTGGTAGTGCTAAAGTCACAGAGCCTGAATAAAACGTCTCCTCTGCATGTTTAAACTGAAGAGTTTCCTTCACAACAGGGAATGGGCCACAGCAAAGAACACACTTCTCCTCTGCTCTAATAGTCCATTAACCCCCTGCTCCCCCATATTTATGTGTTATAAGTAAAAAACAAAACAGTAAGTATGAGTTGCTACTGACTGAATGGTTTCCTGTTTGCACCTTGTACTTCCCACTAAAAATTGCCACTTGAAAACTAAAGAGAATGAAAAGAGCCTTTCAATGATTGTGCTTTTTCAGATGTGACAGGAAAGCTCCTCCTGAGCATGCACTTAACCTGAAATTGTGTTTTAGAAAGATAAACCCAGCAGCTGATTAACAAATGCTGCTTTCATCCTGAATTACTTATAAACTCTGTGGAGGTCATATTAGCACCATATGAGTTGGTTCTAATCAGGGATATAGCAGCAAATAAGAGATTAGTTTATAATTAATGCAAAATTAAGTGGTCATTAGGAATGTTGCTTTAAGCCTCCTGTAAGACAATAGACCAAATTTCAAACTCTTCTCTCTTAGCATCTACTGAAGAAAGGTATTCCTCAAGGAAGAAAAGGTGTCCCTAACATAAATGACTAAAAAAGTCAGAACTTAGGGCACATCTGATAACACCTTGCTGAATTTTAAAGTTTCAAGTAATATGATGTAGTAAGAGCTCATTTTCTATCTCTAGGTGTGGTTCCTGCCCTGTGGACTTTTGTCCAGCCTGAGATCAGCCTGCTCCTACATAATGCTCTTCCAGGCTGTGAGATTGCAGCATCACTGCTCTGCTCCTCTGAGCACTGCTTCAGGACAGGAGAGTTCCCAGACTCACAGAGCTGCACCTGCCCAGCTGCTTTTCCAGGGCAGCTCCAGCAGAGAGGGATTTTCACCAGTAAAAAAGAGCAGTTTGATTTCCTCAAAAGAAAGGGGAGCTGGCAGCTTCCCTTCTGCACAGGAGGTGTTGTTAGAGCTGGGGGAGCATTTCCCATGGGATGGTTCACACCAGGGTAAGCCTACAGGACAGGAAATGCTGGGGAAAGGAGAAGTGACACTAGAAGGAACCTAAGAGCTTAAGGACTGGGAGTTTATTCCAAAAGTGCAGCTCAGATTTTCTATAGACCCAATCCTTGCTGGGGCCAAATATGCCTTTCCTGTACACAACCTGGTTTAAAAGTTAATTATCTGATAACTTTGGGCCATAGGAAACTGAGCATGCATAGGAATGTTTTCTCATTCTGCTTTTGCAAATTTCCAATGTGTTTAGCATAAAAGTACTTTTGCACTTACCTGGAAACCAGTTTGTGGTTTGTATAGATCCCATTTGAATGAAGCACAGTTATCTCTGAAAATAAACATTAACTTAAGGTTACAAGAAGCTTCATAAATTTCTCAGCTCTATTGGAGATATGCTGGGGAAAATAATGTAAAAATTAGTCCAGATCATGCTTCAAAGCTGAACTCTTGAGAAAGTGGTTGATATGGCATCAGCAATAGTATTTCTAAGAAAAAAAAAAAACATTTGAAAGAAAACAACCATTCATATCTTCAAAACTCCAGGTATTTTTTCTTAAGTCAGTAGTTTAGTCATTGCACCCTACAGGCTAATGCACTGAGGTAAAACATGTCACTGCTCTTAGTTGAGCTCCAGATGAAATGGTCTCAAAACATTTCACAGTGTTTTTTTTGTCTCAAAATAGACTTACATAATCATTCCAAATGAATGCATTGGAGGCTGAATTATTTCTGATCCCTAAACCCAAATACATCTTTTAAATATTGCAACATTTCCTATATTTTTAGGTAATAAATATTGATTAAAAGTTTCCAGACAAAATTTTAAACGTTCTGTTTTTCGTAGCTGCAAGACACCAATTAATGCAGAAAAGGAATGCAGTTCACTTAAGAACTGCAAAGATACTTTGCCAGTAATGACAAGGAGGGCATGAAGCAGATCAATAGATAAATCATACTCTGGAAAATTCATACCCTTTCCCAATTTTAGTAATTGCTTCTTTGCTGTACCTGTATAACCTAGTGCAGAGAAAATAAATGTCATTACTTATAAAGGTAGACAGGGAATTAGGCAATGAAAATAACAGCTATAAAACAGATGAGCTGGGCATCAAATACTCCTCTGTACAGACACATTTCTATGTTCCCATGGGTCCATAACTGGCCACTGTATCCACACTCCTCCTCTCCTTAGAGGCACTTAGCTTAGTCTTAAACTAAGTGGAAGACAAATTGAAAATCTTCTCCTCCATGGTTAAATACTTATAGCCTTCAATGGAAACATTTTTCTTAATTGTCAGATTTGTAGTACTGGGCTTTGTTGTCACGATATTCACCCATTCCTAGCTAATTGTGCTTTTGTAGTTCACTTGAGGTGAAAGAAGCTCCCATCAAGAAAATAATAAAGGCTTATAGGATCACTTCTCTCCCATTAAGGACCTATCACAAACAGGGACTTTTGCTTTTTTTTTTCTCCTGCATGAGCTAAATTCCACTTGGAAAACATTTCAGCAGCAGACTTTAGTATTTAATTTATGAAAACAAAAATCTGCTTTCCACTGCATCTAAATCTTGATTTATATCTCCTGTAACTCAGCTGATGCCTATAGATTCATCCTGTTCTCTTCTCGAGATTTTCTACTGCACACAAAGCAACTGCCTGACTGGTTTACTGTTTTATTCCTCTTTGTAGTTATAACACAATTCATTTTCCAATCACATTGGAAGAGCTGCATGAAAATAGCTGAAACTTCAAAAAAGAAATTATTTCCATGTCAGTAGCTACCGCAGTGGACTTCTGTACTAAGAAGATAAATACCACTCTAGGTTCTAAGTGGTATTATCAGTCAATTTTAGAACTAGAATAAAAGTGCCTCAGGAGCAAAGGCATCACTAAATACTGAAGAAACATAGGACTGTATGCATTGTCCATTATTTACATCATAAAAGAATGTATCAGAAGCTACATTTAGAGAGTAATCTCTCCAAGTTTACAGCTCAGCTCAAAGATGGAATAGAGACAAATATTTCATTTATTTCACGATTATTAACAAATGCTTCTCTCATGCTGTATTTATGATGAACTCAGGCAGAAAGAACCACCAGCCTGCTGAGCATGCCATAATTTCTTACTCTTAAATCACTAGGATAAACATATTTTAATACATAATGATTGAAAATATGAAATCTGTATTTTCCTAGGAGATTCAAAACTGAATGCCAAAGAGAGAACAATTATAAATACACCCTGTTTTGGGTATTCCAGGCCCCATTTACGGGCACAGCACAAGCACATCCATCATTTTACCAGGCCGAAAAGCAAACTTACCTTTACCTTGGCTTTTTGACTACAGAGTCTCCAAAACCTGTGCTTTTGTTTCCAAGGCAATTGTCTCTGCAAGTCATCAGTTACTACAAGTGGGACTTAAAGCTGTTATTAAATAATTTAAACTAAAATGACTGCACAGCACCTGTCTCCAATATGCTCAGCTCTCCTGTAATCTGATGCCACGTGAAAGAGATATTTGGTTTCCAGAGCAGAAATCACAGGTCACACTGCAGATTTGTCAGGGAATTTGTCCAACTGGGAGTGCCTTATCCCTGACCAGAGCAAACACCTGGATAGGCTTTGACTTCTCAGAGCTGCCAGAGTCATCTTCTGTTCAGAGGGAAAAGCCCAGTTCTCCAAGGCAAAACACACACATGAACATTTTAAAATTAATTAAAGTTGGAGCAAAAAACACATGAAAGGCAAAGAATGAGAGAAGAAAAGGTGCTGTTTATAATATGAGATAGAGGGCTTGGTATTTCACCCACAGAAAACAACAAGCTAGTGACTCATTCCAGACACTTTCTTCCTCCAGTTCTGTTGGGCAACTCATCTCCTATGTAACAGATGGTTTCTTTTTCTGCTTCTCACACTTCTGGAAGTCACACCTTTCCTGAAGTGGTGCTATAGGAATACCAGACACAAACACAAATATTTTTTTGAGACTATACTGGAAGTTTGAAAACCAGACTATAGAAACATGAGAAATTTATTTCTTACTTCTATACTCTACTTTTATTCCTCTCTCTCCTGGTGCTTCTAAAGTTCCCTTTATTCCTGAAGGTCTCACTTTTCCAGAAAAACTCTATAGGTCTCTCAATTATTCTAGAATTTAGCTTTAAAAATTGTTCAAATGCTTCCTAATTTTTTCTCCCACTATGCTTTCTTAGTGATTTAAGAGAGCACCAAACACTGACTACTTCTCCCTTGCTCTTACACTTGCCCACCCCCAAGAAAATAAAAACACCTCATGAATATTGAATTATTCCCATATTCATTTGCATTACTTTGATAAAAAAGCCTTCACTACCCCTACATGTGGTGCTGAAAATACACTGAAATACGTGTCCTCACACTGTTCCAGAGGTATACATTCTCTTAAACCAGAAAGCCAATTTTGTTCAGCTGTAATCCAATCACATATCACAGTATATGATATAGAAAATGAGCTAAATCACAACATTATTAAGGATTCCTCTCTGGAGTAGTTTGTTGAAAGATACTTTTCTTATTTCAACCATGGAATTGCAGAGGGCACACAGAGGACTTTGTGGACCAGAAGATGTCTATACAGAATATCAGTGTATGCCACTGAAATTTTCTGTCACAGTTCATATAAAGAGATAATGTTGAGACTTTCCTTTGTGGATGGAAAGCAAGCACATCATTCCAAGGTGGGTGGTTTACACATGATAACACAGATGTGACACGGTAAGAAAATATACAATTTCATACGTACTTATTAAGAGTTGGGCAGAAATTGATTTGGGAGAGAGTGTGACTTGGTTCTGCCACATGACAAAGCATTTTGGATCCATTTGCAGTTTGCAGAGCATGAAAAAAGTTACCTGACAAATCACACCTTGGGGGAATTCTGCTGTTGGGGCAGAGAGCATGAAGCAATCAAGTTATGACCATCAGATTAGGAGGCAACTCTAGCAAGCATGATTTCTGGTTTTGAGAGCTGCCCCTGGAAAGAAAGAGCAGTAATAATTTAGCAGGAGATAATAGGAGGTGATTCAGAGTACAAATGGTACGATCAGATTAAAATCTCATTACATCTCTATTTTATGGGCTGCTGTGAAAATGTACAATATTTTTTTTAATTTATTAAAAGCCAAGTATCTACAGTAGCATTATAAATGCAGAAAGCATGTTCAGCATCCTGAAATTGTGCAGAGCCTGCAAAAGGCTAGTGGGGCAGAAGAAAGGAGAGAAGTAAAAAAACAAAAGGGAAGATTGAAGGAGGCATGAAACAAGACTAAAGGATGATAAGGAGTGTCAAAATTATAGTGTTGCTAAATGGTCATGCCTCTGTACCTGTTCACCCTTTGCACCTTTGGCACCATCTCTAGCTGGTAAGACACTGGCTGCAGGAGCACTGCACTGAACTTTGGGCAGGAATAAATTGTCTTTTCAGGGTTTTCTGTACTAACTGAACTTCTTACACTTAGCAGTGAAAGCCAAGGCATTGAAAGGATGAAGAAGAATCATTGCTAAGTCCACAGATAGGTGACAAATCAGAGTAATTTAATAAATTTCTCCATTTGCATAATTCTGAGGGGTTACCTGGGAAATGCACTCCTGTCTTCAGACAAAAGGGATAGTGTCTGAATCATGTCATATAGCACCTGATTATATCTGTGCATATTGAAAAAAACAACCAAGCTTATAACAGTCTGAAAGTCTTGAGGTCTAATGAAAACACCTAATATCACAACAGTCATTAATCTCACTGCTACAAATTAATTTCAGTGTTTTGTTCATTATATGTCTAAATGTACAGCATTTATCTTCATGCCAAAAGATTCATACAATATTCCAGTTGAGGATGAATCCTCAGCAGCATATTGTGTTTCTACTGGGACTCTTCACACCTATCAGGTAATGCCTAAGCTAAAAATGATTAAGTGCTTCTCTTATTAGAATCTCCACTAGTTGCATTCACCCACACCTTAAAGGACAAAAAGTTCAAGTATGTTTGCGCAGCAATGATGTGAATGCTACCCCTATTTCTCCTTTCAGACTTTATATATTAAAAAGATACATTTCTCCTCAGTAGTACATCTCAGAGATGAGCTCCTTTTGCATCCCAAAAGATCTGCAATCCTTTGCTGCCCTCTCTGAGCAGAACAGCAGTAACAGATAGAAACATCATAAGATAAAACTCTGACAGGCTGCACCACAGTGGTTGTACTTGTTTTCAATATGAGTGTCAAATGTGAGGCAATCATACCCCATGTATTGTCTTTTATTGAAAAAGGCCCAAAATTAAACTACCACAAACATGAGCTGACAAACTTTTATAGTACATAAGCCACATACTAAAGTCAAGTGGCCCTAATTTGTCCCAGTTCTACCAGTCAAAAAAAGAATCCTTGGGAAAAAACATTTGGTTGGCAGATTTGGATAATGAGAAAAATCAAATCCAGCATGAATTCTGCTATTCACCTCAATTATTTATCTTTTTTTTAAGCTTCAGAAAAGATTTCCCACAGAGAGCAGCTTCCCCTGTCAGGTTTCATCTGATAAAGTACCATATAGAGTATAATCATTAGAATATTACTGTAAGAACATTGTAATTAGGATAAAAGCAGAGGTTAAGAAGCACCACTTTCTATATTATTCTTTATTCTTCCTCCATTAGGCTCCCATCAAAGTCTAGAGCAATGGCACATGCTAAAATAAAATAAGAAAGGTATTTAGCTAACTACTATAACAAACTTGAATTGTGGTTTATATATCTTATCCAATTTCATGGACTCCAGACAGTTCTTAACACCCTCTAAGGATTTCCTTCTGCTGATTTTCTATACTGTGTTAATTATACAATACTAGGGAAGTTGACATTGCTGGTGTCTTCCTTGAAGGCAACAAGACAAAGCTCAAAATAAAAGAAAACTTGAAAACAAAATGTAAGCCTTCAGATAAGTTCACTCCCTGCAGGGGTTCTACCTTACACAAATCTCTTTTGGTTTTGCCAGCCAGGAGCTAAAATCTAGTTACATCCAAAGTTTTCCAGGGTGCTCCAATTGTTTATTCTAGAAGAGCCCAAGTGCCTGTTTACACTTTGGCAAAATGGTGGCAGGTTTTCCTAGCAATTAAATCACTTTCTAAGGCAACTGATGACAATTAGCACCAGCAACAGCTTAGATTTAAAAAAGCAAAATGCACCAAATTTCTCACAAAAATTAAATAAATCTTAGGGAGTTGAAAAAGAAAAAAAAAAAAAACCAAAACAAACAGGTTTTGCAATCCATACCTATAGAAGGATAGAGAATCCCATGTGGAAAATCGCATTGTGTGGATTTAATGACAGTCTTCAGGTCCCAAGGCTTACACAGTTTGAGATTTCTCAGCATAGATGAGAATTAGGCTTTGAAAGGTGCCCTGAAACTTATATTTAGCTAGTTTTGAATTTAAGTCCTTTTTGAAGACAGATGTCTCTGGTAATTAATTTTTCCTCCTTAAAATATGCTTTAAGCCATGATTGACCCAATGGCAGAGAGGGGAACCTGGTGAGGCAGCAGGAAGTCCTTTTTCCAGATCTGTCCTTGAGGTGACAGCACTTGGTCATCAGCCCAAAAGCTGAGAGAAGAGGACAGCCCTGTTGAATTAAAGTCCTAGGAAATCTGTATTTACACACAGACTACTCGGGGGCAGAATGCTCTTAGACTGTGAGCTTCCACCCTCCTGACAGTCCTCCTTGTCAGCTTCTGGGGGGCAGCCCCCAAAAGTCCCTCCTCACCACCGTGTCTGCATCAACCTGCAAAGGCTGCAAGCCCTCAGCACAGTCAAATACTCATCCCAGCAAAGGAGCTCTTCCCTTCCCAGCACCTTTACCACACTAGCACCACCAGCTGCACCACCAGCTTTGCTGCACCACCAGCTTGCCTGGCAGCCAGCACAGCAGAGTGCTGGAGGGAAGCAGTGAAATAGAAACCGGCTGAATTTTTAGCATGAGGACAAGCCTGCCAAAAGAAAAAGGTATATCCTATTTATTTCTACTAAAAGCTGTTATTTTGTGCTTTGTTTTGGAAAGAGGTTGCTCACTGGCTTATCTCTGCCTTGCACAATCCTGATGATTGCCTACCTCAGTCTTCCCACCCCTATTTACAGGGGCTGCGTGCAACATCCTGGGGGTGAGCCCTTTGCTCTTTGCCTGGCCTTGGGCAGACCTTGGCTGTGGTACAGTACAAATGAACAATTCAAGAATCAGCACAACTACAGGCACTGATTTTTGGCTGTAAGGCTTTCTCCCTCTTTTTCAGTCAGTGGATAGAGTTTTCAGTAACCTAGGAGAGGGAAGGCTATTTGAGACCTGCTTTAGTGCAGTGACTGCCTTTACTGCAGCACAGCTGGCACTATCCAGCTGCCCAAGGTACCACAGTGTGCACATGGAAAGTACAGTCTGTGCTTGGTAGCTCTGCAAAATTAATAACATAAAATCTAATGCTGAGGAAGAGACTTTTCAGCAATTTTGTTTGCAGAAAATCTCCTTACTAAGAGTAAGGTCTGTTAGATGTTTCCAGCTTCAAAAATTAAAGCTCTCAATCCCTGCAGCAGTGTCAGGAGGGGTTTTGTTCCCAGGATGCCATTTCTGGGGTTATTATTCTCTGTTCTAGTGGCATTGGAGAGAAAAGTTATAGGCTGTCAGGTTGCCTTGTATCTTTCCTATTCAAGAGCTAGGATAAATTTAGTGTCTGTAAAAAAATAATGAATGCATCATTTCAGAGCAGTGCTACTTGTCAGATATGATTTGGTAAAAACATTTTACTGACAACATCATTAAAAAGAGATTTGGAATTAGATATCTGTTGGGGTTTTTTTAAATAAGCTGAGATTTCTACACTGACCTTTGCTGTTTTGGCCAAGAAGCAGATGTGGAATCCATACGCTGTCAACACACGGCACTCAGGGATCAACTTGTAACCTTGTGACCCACAAAAATGTCTGGTTTGCTGTACGACTCTTGAACTTCCCTGGAGGCTGCTTGCCTGCAGAAGTATGAAGCAGACAAAATTGTCAGCAATTCCCCACCCCTAGGTTCTCACCAGGTCAAGACACTATCTTGCTGAAACATAGCTCTTCCACACCATAGAAATTGCACTAAACTCTGCCAAACCCAGAATCTTTATATGAAGAACAGCATTTACAGGACTACTATAAGTATCTGCATTGAGCAACAAATAAAAATAGTAACAGCAGGAGGCTTAGTAATCACAAAATATTAAATGTTTTTCTTAACTGGGTTTGTAATTTCTTTTCTATCTGTGCAATTCTCTATGCTTATCTCTATATCTTCTGCCAGAATTACAGTGATTCCAAGTTTGTATACACAGCTCCTGACTATTTAGAGCCTTCTTTCTGCATACCATTCTTTTGAGGGAATGGTTTTATGTCTGTGTATTGAATATACAGTGAAACTCTGCATATTTCCTTGGAGAAGGAAGCAGCTCAGCACAGGAGAACACCTGGCTTTTGAAGTTTCAAACCTGCCTTTGGAGCCATCAGTTTTGAGCATTCTTCAAGAGCAGCAATATCATATAGGAATAACAGAAGTGGGAGCTATACCCAATTATTTTCATCACAACATAGCAGGGTGACAGCTCCTAGACACTTGCAAAAGAATATATGGTTAAAACACTGGGTAGAAATGCACAGCTACCTCCCTGATTTGCTTTGATGTAGGACCATCAGAGTGCTTTTATTCTGAAACCAGGAGTTCACAAAGTGTTTCAAATTTTCATTGAGACAATTAGAGAGAGGATTAAAGACTTTTGAAGAACAAAACTCTAGGAATAACCTTGCTTAAAAAAAAAAAAACAACTCAGAGCAGGCATTTTGGAGCATGATTTCTTAATAGGCGCTCATACAGTGAGCGTAATTAGAGCTCTTAGAAATATATAAAATGGAAGCTGTCCTGTGCAGGATCATTTTCTTGTGAATTAGTAGTGATTTATCCCTTGTGTATCCTACCACGCATCTGTGCTTCTCCACAATCAGAAGAATGGAGCAGAGCTGAACTTCTTTATCTATTTCTTTTCACTTGTCAGCCTGCCAAAGGGACTGTGCACATGAAGAGCTGCTTTCTGTTTTGTTCTCTATCCTGAAATAGCTAACCCTCATTAATGATAAAATCTTTGACTGTCCTGTGACTGCTTGGTATATTAAGAGCAAGGTTAAAGTATCAGCTTCTTATGTGGGAGTAGGGAATTTCTACAATAGGACACACTAGAACAGTGCCACAGGAATAACACAGCTTGCAAGGCTGAGCATAATCTTGACAGAAACTGTTAGGAGAGTGAGTCCAGAAGCAAACCAGGCCAAAAAAACCAAACAACCTGTTTAATTCAGAGGAAGTTCTGTCTGACATTCAAAGCTGACAATTCATGCAGGATCCCTCACTTGGGATACTTACTATTAAGAACACCTTAATAGTGGTGCTTAATAGAGTCCTTAATAGAGGAGCTATTAATAGGTCCTTAATAGAGGAGCTCCTCCTCCTCTCCTGAAAATCTGCTGTTTCCTGTCATCTGAGCTCTAAAAGCATCAGATTCTGAATGAAGATAAATAACATTGAAATGCTGTTCTTACCATCCCTAGTCAGCTCTTCTACTTTAATTACATTACAAAAGTTTGACTATAAAGTCAAAAAACTTCTCTCTTCAGCTTCATGGAGCTTTAAGGGATAATACCTTGCACATTTGGAATGCATCTGCATATGGGACACCCATCACTCCATAAAAGTTTTTATCCAGCACCAGGCTACTTTGCACCCAGCTTTCTGTTTGACTCCTGCAAAGAATGCATTGCTTAGTGCAACTGGAAAACTGAGCACAGTGTAAATCTTTGTATATTTATATCTTTATCCTTGAGAATAGCTATGGTTTTATCCCAGTATTAAAGGAATCAGGGAGCTAGAGACACAGAACATCACAGGTTTTTGTCTGCTCCAGTACATCTGTGTACAAAGGTAAATTACAGTGCTTCATGATTAAACCCGAGTTTACACCTTGATATTTACTTAACTGAATCAAATAAAAATATTTTGATGCTGATACACCTGTATGATGCTGAACTGTTCAGCACTATATTGCTCTGAGCAAGAAGTGGTTAAATGTTGCCATCAAACAGTAACAAAACACAGATAAATGCCATACAAACAAAACTCAGAACACATTATCTAATTATTGGGGTAAAGGCATCTATACACTATTGGGAAATTTCTGTCCTTCATTCAACTTAGAGGAACGGGAATATTCCCACTCTGTTCCTTTGCTTTTCCTTCATCTACTGTAAATGAAATGTAAGAGGGAACAGGTCATCTTGATGTTTAAGGACTCATAAAACACCATGGCAGATTTCCAGCTCTTCACTCCTGCTGCAACAGAAGATGCAGAATGGCAGCTTTTGCCAAAGCTGGATGAGGTATTCACATTTGACAACTGATCTGTCAAATAAATATTTCTCAAGGGTTTTCATCATTTTGCAGCAAAAATTTATGAAGCTGAAGCCTACACTAGCATGCAAGAGCTGACATTGTCATCCAGTTAAAGTATCAGAAGCTGTAAACACACTATTTTTTTTCAATTTAAGTGCATATTGAGAAAGGTTTTGTGAAGACTGAGCTGATAAGAATCCAGATAAGAATCCCATATAGATTTAGTAATACAGGGTACAGAGCTGGCTCACATTCAAGATCCTTTAATATGCACAGCAGAATTTGTGAAGCATGATGTAAATACTGAGATTACCTACCGAGGCAATGGGATCAAGGAAGCCTCTACAGTTCTTCACAATTTTTATTATGTTTCAGCAGGATTTTTCCTTTCTGCTTCTTAAAGTTAATGATTCTTGAAAAGATTCAAAGTCATTAGTAGGGTCTTCCGGACCTGCATTTCAACAGCTGATCTGAAAGTACTCCGTAGGGGAAACAGCAGATGCTAACTAGGCAGGTGAAAGCACAGCCACCAATGAATAAAGCGGCCTGTAAGGGACCTCTGGTGGACAAGAACAGTGTTACATTTCTTTGCATTAACAGAGGAGTTTATCCATTTAACTAGCTTACAGCCATTCAGTTGAATGCTATCTCATATTATAGAATAATCAAAACCATTTTCCACTTGAACAAAAATAATTCGATACAAAAAGAAATGGAAATTAATACAGTTGAATCCAAAAGAACATTTCCCAGGCTGGGTGAGGTGATGGTACCTGTTGCTTCCAGCACATGCAGTGGTTGATCACAGCCACTGTACGCAATCACAAGAGCTTATATAGCTATTTATTACAGTGCAGAATATCCCCAAGGATGTTATCCTATTCCAAGCTAGATATTTTTTTAAAGTGTTACAAACTTGGGAATTTATTTTGATCTCATGGCTTAAAGAGGCTCTCATCTCTGGGCTTTGGGACCTCTGTTTTCAGAGAGCGTGTATAGTCTGACAGACCACAAAGTTTCTGCAGATCCCTCTGGGATCACAAATTCCCTTTGGTAACTGGACTTGTCTTCCCTTGCTACTCTTTGCCAATCTCCACATGGAGCTAAAACTCCGATATCTTCTCATGTGAGTATAACAATAGACATGGGAGATGGTTTGCTGTACAGAAATAACACACTGAAATGGTTCCCTAGGAAAACCAGCACGTCTTGGCAACAGTTGTCCTGGCAACTAAATCTCCTGGCAGAGGGTGGTGGCCACTGATCTGTGGAAACCAATCCGTGACTCATTTTTTCTCAGAGACCTGAGTGGATAGGGAATAGAATGGAAAAGCCTTCACCATTTGGTTTCCCCCCATCCCTTGCATTGAGAGGAAACTCTCACCAGTCATAGAGGTTATTTGAATGGTTATGGAATTCAGGGTTCTGGAACACAGATACAGGACATACTAATTACAAGGCATATAAATGGACATCATAATTTCAAACATCATTGTTTTTTTATTTTTTTTTTAATCTAGTCACATTAGGAACTGTCTTAACTCTCTCTCTACCAGGACTGAAAATTGCCATGGAAAAATCACAGCAGAAAATATCAGCACAGCCATAACAGTACTAAACAGGGCAGAGATAAAAATGACAAAGGACATTTTTGTCTAAGTAGCTTTTCAGAAGCCTGTGAAAGCATTGGTGGTCAGTCTGTGCTGCACTTATCACTGCACAGGCCTGGCCAAAGGCAGCCCAGGGCTCCTGAGCAGAGGTGGTCCGTGGCCTCGGACAGCGTGCCCGTGCTCAGCAATGCCGCCCTGCCTGCCCTGCCTCGCTCCTCCTGCTGCAGGGCCTCACTGCAGCGGCTCTGCCCCGGGGACCAGCACAGCTCGAGCCATTGCTGCACCTGCCCGGGCATCGGCCTGGTGCTCACGGGCTCAGAAATGGCTCTGTCCCAGCAGTGCTCACACACACGTCAGCTGGAAGAGCAGCTCACAGAGTGTCCCTTCCCAGCCACGGCACGCTGTCCCCTCTCCCGTACCCTCCCAGCTCTGAGAGGCCTGAGCACAGCTTGCTTCAGCTCCTCCTGGGAATGCCCGACGTCTCCAAGAGGGTGAGGCTCACCTGGGCACAGCCAGGGGCTCTCCTGCTGGGACAGCAAATCTCCCTCCCAGGGAGAACCAGCAGCCCTTTGGCCACACAGCTTCTTCCCAGGAAATCCAGGAAAAGTAGTGACACAGAAAAAATTAATTTAATTTTCATGGGCTTGTCATCTCTCAGCTGTCCCTTTCAAAGCACAAGTGTGACTGGAGCCTCAGGGTGACTGAATGGCCAGCAAGGGGTGAGTGGTGAGCAGAATCTTTTGAATGGATCAGCTGGAAGAAATGAGAAGTACCTGAGTCCCTGCCAGCTCTGAAGGGCTGGCGTGAGGCTGAACAGGGCTACACCAGGGCATCGTGCTCCAGAGCAGCAACACTTCCAACAGGTGCTCAGAAACTGATCTGAAAGAAAAATTTCTGTTTCAGAAAACATGACTTGGCAACAAAATCATTTCCTCTTGAAATATTTCTCAAGGTTTATTCTACTGCTTTAATCTGAATTATGCTAATCCATGCATACGATGATTCTGTTTATCCATGAATATTTGGACACATACATTTTCATATAGGAGGAAAGCAAAAGAGTTTATTAGATGATAGCACAACCATTGCATGAATTCAATATTTTCACAAGAAGCAGAGAAATGTTTTTTCATCAGTTTATGCTTCTCTTTCCATTACCTGCACAGTAAACTCAAACACAATAAATGTTTCAGGATGCTATTAAGCAGGTGGACTCCGAGAGATTTTCAAGGAGATGAAAAAAAGCACCTCAAGCAGTAAGTCATACATCTTGAAAATTGCATAGTAAACACTTGGAGACATATAAAATCCCACTTCTAACCTAAACGAGTAAACAACTTGAAAAAATGGGCTCAGACATAAAAACTGTGAGCTGACTACAAATGATCTGCAAATACATTGAAGGCCTATATTTGTTCAAATACATTATTCATAAGAAATAATTTGAGTTTTAGTTGTATGAAATTTATGTTGCATAAACTTAAGCAAATACTTGTAACCAAAAGCTGTTTTAAAGAATTAATGAGCAATCTCTAAATAAAATTCTATTACTAAATAAAATCTTCCCTGCTTTGCAAAGCCATATGCTTCCTTTAGCATATACATTAATAAGTACATCTCTTAAGAGCTGAGGCCTGGAATGCTGTGATAGAGAGCTTAGATCTGATTGAGCTCTCACTAAGCAGGACTGGTGTGAGGTAAACAAGAGGAGAAACCATTGCTTTTGAAATGGTCTTAAAGTACTTAGGATTCAACAGCAACAAAGTCAACTGAATTCTTGAGCCAAACAGCTACATTTCTTCTCTAGGATCAACATTTCTGAATATTTAGTAAGCAAATAAAGAGAAAGGGGAATGTAGCTTTTCACCTCTACTAAAACACTTCCGCTGTCCATTGCTGCACTCTTGGACACCAAATTTGTCAGTGAACATTTGAGGCTAAGAGGCACTGCAGAATGGGGTGGTACAGCTTGAACTGCTGCACCAGTGCTTGCTACAGAACAGCATGAGCGGTGGCTTGACTTACATTATCTGCAGTAACTCCATACTCCTCTGTACTGACTGAACTAAACAGGTGCATTATGCTGAAGCAATATTGATATTATTATTGTGTAAATTCTCATATTATATAGAAGCCTTAATAAACCAGATGCTTTTACACAGCTGGAGATAACAGGTAATGTCTACAAACTAACACCTCCTCCAACTATTACCCCCAGAAGTTATTACACAAATAGATGAAAGAACTAGTCTGGCTTCCACAAATAGTTGCGTCTTAAATCTGAATTGAATGAAAGTACTCAGGTTGCTTGACCAACAGCTGAGACACTGCAAAGCTTTCCTCTGACAGGGATAGTACTGAACTAGAAAAAAAAAAAAAACAAAAAAACAAACCCTGAACAGCCAATATTTACAAACAATTATATACAATTCAAATTACTCAAGCAGAGTAGCTCCTACCACCTACTTTCCACTAATATCTACCAGTCTTCTTGTATTCACTTCAGCCTAAAATGTGAGTTGTACAAAAACTTCCTATTCTGCCTTCACTCATCCTATTTATTTCAAAGCCACTTTCAAAGTTCTGAATAGTTTTGGAGTAGTTTCCCAGCTTAGTCATGGGGCAGAGGCTGTTTTGCAGACTGACCTCCCTTACAGAAACACCCCAAGATCTGACTCTTTCGGATACAAGGACAACAGAGACAAAATTTTACATTTTGTAATTGTAAAGCACAATTTACTCACATTATGGACTAAACCAAAATGGACTCTTCAGAATTTGTGTGATTTTTACCCCCTCCCCTCTGGTTTGCCTAACTTATGGGACCGACCAAAGAGCTACCTGTTGTCATTAACCTTGACAGCATTGCTTCTCATTAGAAATCAAAGCTGCTGCATTTCTACAGTAAATTTCCACAAAATATGTCTTGGTATCTGAAAAATATTAGGGAATGAATCCTAACTGCTCTTAAAAGGCAGCTGCCAAAAACATGAAACTCATGAAGACTTTTAAGACCCAGGATTTTGAAACAGTAGATCTTTCCAAAGAGAGTGAGCCAAAGATATCTTGATGTGATGACAGAAATGCAAAAATGGGTTTTTTAATGTGTTCTGACAGCATTTCTGGAGTCTCCAATACCTCTCAGTCATGTCCCATCTGACAGGAGCTTTACAGCTCCAGTGCACTAAGAATGACTGTGATTCTGCCAGTCCCTTCTCTTGGATAGTCTGAATAATCTTTAAATGGTCACTGGTTTAAATACAACCTACAGTGCCAGCTGAAGTGTACAACAGAACAGGATCTTCTGGCACAGGCCGCTTCTGTTAGGAATTGCTCCCGTAGCTGAGCAATAACTAAGTTTCTGGAGAGCCCTTCTGCTACAGCTCAGACACAGTTCTCACCTTTTTGTAAAGTTTGGTGCCCCAAAGTTTTCAATGACCTCAATGAGGGCTGTGGAGTTGACAGAATTTGTGAAAGCCTATCACTTTTTTCTTTAATGAAACCTAATTTCAATATGTTAGTTTAAATAGACAGAATTCTGAAAAATATGAAATAGATCCCTTACAGCTTTCATGCATACAAGAGAAAACCCCCAAAATAATCATTTTCACACAACCTTTTCTAATCTTATTTTTGATAACCATAGGCTACATCACAGCTCTTCAGACACATGGGAATTGCCTCAAAAATGACAGCTAACTGAGGTCATGGGAAGATTTACTGTCATTAATATCACCTCACAGTAAGAAGGAATGTTCACTTCCTGTTAGTGAGTCACCAAACACAGTTTCTGTTTGTTTAAAATGATAAGAGCAGCATACAAGAAAGTTAATTTTCACTGATGACAAAGTGAATAGAGACTTATGTAGCTGACAAACTTCAATGTGAAATCTAAGCAGGAATGCTAAAGTAGTGAATTTGTTACTGAGATGCAGTACAGGCATAATGGGGACATCATTAATGCAATATAATAAAAAAATGTTACATATGATGTATTGGCAATATATGAAGCAACGTGAACATTTATACCAAGTGACAACCCAGGGACAGGCAGATTAGAGTCTGAAGTTACCAGCAGGATCCATCTTTTCATTTACACCTTTGTCCACTATTCTCTCTTTACCACTCTGCTTCTATTGATCTCAGTTTGAATATTAGGATGCTTAAGCATTTCTCCTGCCTGTATATCATCCATTTCAGGTGATGGTTATGCTGAGCTGCTATTTATTCTATAGCACTAATCTCTGCTGACTTCCTTGGAGAAGCAAGCAGCCCAGCAGCTTGGCAATGAAGTGCTTTTGATGTCTCAAGTCACCTTCAAAAATATCAGGTTTTAATAATTTTCCACTAGCACTCCTGCCTTTTGGGAACAGGAACATGAAGAGGACCCAGAAACACAATACATCTAAATTGCTTTCAGCACAGCAGAGCAGAGTGGCAGCTTATGGGAGCCTGCTGAGCAAGGCCACCTTATTTCCCAAAGTGACCCACATGTGAGAACACTGCATACAAATGCATGGCTAATTTTCCAATTTGCCCTGATGTCAGTGCACCTGAGTACTGCTGTTCCAAATGAAGAGGTTAGAAATGGGTTTCCACTCTGTAGCTCTCCAAAAGATCTAGGTGGTGCAGGATCAAATGGGCCCTGGAACCAGATACCCTGTGAGATGGCCTTTGCATCAATACTCGTGTTACTAAGATCCTGAAGAATTACTTCTGTCAGATATCTGAGAAAGCTGCAGTAACTCTGGGAATTTATTTTTTTTTTCCTAGGAGGAATAGTGCATTTCTTGTACACAATAATTTGCTGTTGTTTATGCCATCAGTAATCACCACTGAGCATGCAACAGCTTGGCGGCATCCTTCAGCTGAGGGCAAAACAAAACCTGTCCAAACTGCCTGCAAACCCAAGCTCAGTCTGATTCTCCTTTCAAAAGGCATGAGGGAATCATCTAGCAGAATGCCCTACCTATGCTTCATCAGTTCCTCCTGTTTAACCAGGACCTTATCTCAGCCTGGAAAGAGGAATTGAGCCTTTCTCCCCTTTATATCAGGTTTGTTTACTTTACCTTCTCTGCCTACATTTTTAATGGGTTTTTCACTTCCTTTAAGAAAAGATTGACCCCTGCCACCCTGCTCTTCTAATATCTGTAACTGCTGTCCTTTGTGGTCCATACAGTCCATGTTTTCTAAAAAGAACCTCAACACTTCATGACCCAATGAGTTGAATCAGAAAAGCTGAAGAGAAACAGTGCAAACGAAGCAAATGATGAATCTCACAACTTTGCAAACACTTGCAGCTTCCTCTTAAAACTACTAGGCTGCAGATTATAACTAATGAAAGGAAACCCTAGTCTTTTACTACAAATGCAAAGTATAATATTTGATACCTATGGATCTTAACTGGAATTCCAGAACTGAATATATTTAAGAAGTTCAGACATTTGCATTTAGATCCTACTTGAATAAATTCCTATGATTGCTGAGTGGTCCTTTAAGTCTTCCTTTTAGCCTTAGTAAAATTATTTAAGTGCAAATGAGGCATTGCTTTCTTTGCAGTTTTCCCAGGCAGACTTTGGAAAGTTACCTGATGGAAAGAGGTAAAATGGTGAGAATATTTCAGTGCTATGCAGCTGATTTCTTCTTTCATCACAGGATAATGTACACAGAAGTCAATTTTCCACATGCACCAAACAACTGACCAAGCACTGACCTAGATACACCAGAAATATATAAATTACCATTTCAGAAGAAAATTCAGTCTCTCTTCTGAAATAAAATTAACCCCTAATACTGCATTGATTAAGGGGGTTTCTGTGGTAAATAGCAGCTGCTATATGTCACTATTTGGAATCACAGATTTTATTACCTTTTTTCAGAATGTATTGAGTTTATTGGAAAATGTGCAGTGATGATATTCTATGTATAGCTGTGCCATGATGATGAAGTGGCATTACTGTAAGGTATCATTATGGTGAGTTACTACTGGCCTTATTAGAAGCATATCTTGACTTTGGTCTCTATTACTAGCTAAGATTGGAAGCTCCTCTGACTGGAAAATTGCTGTTTTATATTGGTTTGCCTATCTTTATTATCTTCCTCACCATTTCCTTATATTTGCATAGAATGGCATTAGATGGTTTTGCCAGTGACATTTTTAAAGAGAAAAATAGTAAAGCAAGGCAAAAAAAAAAAAAAATTAAAATACCTGTTTTGAGCGGATAAAGGCAGGATTAAGAACTGGGTGCAGGTATGGAATATTAGAGAGGCATTTCCTCCATCCTCCCCAGGCTGCTTACAGGGAAACACAAGTACTGATGTGAAGCCATACTGAGATATGTGAAGCCATAACTGAGGCAGAATATATACTTATGAAAGGCTTTTGGGAAGGGCTAATGCAGTGACTGATTTGTGAGGCAGAAGGGCAAATTTGCCTCCTCTTCTGCCACTGAAGCTGCAGTGGTGCTGCATGAGACTTCTTGTCTGTGACCAGATTGTGGCTTCTTCATCTTTCCAGTGGCTCCCTTCAACTGCCTGCCAGCATGGGTGAACACATGTGCCACCATCAGTGTCACAAAGCTGAGGCAGGGGTGGCAAGTCTTGCTTGCTTGAATCAGAAAGGTTTCAATTTCTCTGCCTAATTAGCTTCAGTGGAGCTGTAAAGCACAGTGCCTCAAGGTTTGCTTTGAAGGCACTATTCTTCTAGCCTTTCTTCAGGCAGAGAGATGGCTTATGTGACTTTTCATAACCTTTAGTAACCTGTTCTTCTACACCTTTTTTTTTTCCACTGGTTTAATGCCTTAATAGTATTTTCTTGCAAGCAGCTTCATTTCATGAGTACTCAATCTCTTATGACACATACATTTGCATTACAGTTCTATTTTTTCCTCAGCTTGGTAGTGGAAAATTTTCAGAACTTCTCTGAAGTTAAATTTATTTCTTCTAGCCCTCTAGAAACATCAGATTTCTGCAGAATTTAACAGGAGCCAGAATAATGTTTTTATGGGTCCAGAAACATGTAATTGACTGAGTAGCTTCTTTTAGTTCTAGCAAAAACATTTTTAATTACCTTAATCATGAGCAGAAATCCTTTAGCTGTAGGATGCTTGAGCATGCTTGGTAAGGATGTTGCCTGAGCATTCCCAGGTATCTAATGAATTGTAAGTTACAATTTAAACTGAAAAAACATTCTTAAGTCTATAGAATTTCTCTCTTTTTTTTGGCCTTTTATTTCCTTCTGGAAAAAAAAAAAGAATTGGAAAAAAATGCTTATAAATTCTTCCCACCTTAGTGTAAAATATTGAACTGGGCTATATATCTTACTGTCCGCCTTTGAAAAAGGTATGAAGAAATGAAAAATCTCCTGAAACAACAACACTAGTAACAGATTTAATTCACTACCAGACCAGAGCCCATTTAATCATGGTAATCTAGAGCTGAAAGAACCATAGAAGAATAATTACCTGTGGAGTATTCCACCCTTGTTTTACATGCTGCTCTCATGTTCATCTAGTCTTTTAGCACAGAAGTGCATGAAATCAGGACATTTTATAAACCTTCAGATCAGTAATGGTCACAAACATTCTTTCCATGCTTGGTAGGTTGAGGACTGTACTAAACATAATTTTAATAAAGAATAGTTGAACATAGTTACCAGTGAAACAAATTATAGGAAAGCCACTTTACTGTACCTGGACCCATTTTGAGCCCCATTTCCTTTCTATTTCTGCTTTCTTTGCCTGGAGTTGCATTCTGAGCAGGGCCACAGCCTGGAACATGCTTGCAGTGCTGAAGATGTCACTTGTTCCTGGGACTGAAGTGCTCAACACTGGCTCAGCCTGGCCTGCAAGGGTTAATGACCAAATTATTGTAAGAGCTGATGGCTCTCTTTAACTGCCCATGGTGCATAAGGTAACTATATTACATCAAAGTGGATTGATGCCCTCTTTTTATTCTGAATTTCTGTTTTTTAATACATAAAATGAGTGCTCCTGGGCAGCTCTTAAACAGCACCTTTAAAAAGGGGTCTTTAAAACAGGCATTAATTGTAAAAATTTACTAAAATGGAAGTAGTAAGTTAAGGCTCCATCACATGGCACTGAGAGCTCTGGTATGAAAGTTAACTCCCAGGTTCTTTGCTCCTTGGTCAGAGTTAAGGGTTTGTCATGTCCCCTAAAAACAGGACAACTTCAGAGATGGGGCAGATGTCCAACATTCTTGGGAGCCCTTATTAATTGCAACATAAGCCACATACATATTTCAAAATGCCTAAGGGAAAGCTAAACATCTACACTAGGAATTACTATATTGCATACATACATACAAACAGAATTTTTACCACTCTTACAGCTTTTATTCTTTGGTCTTTCAGACATGATGAGCTTTCAGTGAGGGCTTTAACTGATAATATTGGGGTTATTTCTGCTAAGCCACTGAAGTTCCTGTGAAAGCAAAATTCAGCCCTTATAATCCTGTCTTTTTGCTGTTTTACTCATTAGCTATAGGTAATGCCCAATTGCATCTGAGCTCACAGTTGCTCTGGATTCACTGAGTGTATTCAAACAGAACTGCACTAAAATCCAATTTCTAAGCTTATGATTTTGTAATTAGCAGCCAAAACTCATACAGACTGTATCTCTCAAATATAGTCATTTTCCTGACTGTGAAAAGAGGTAGATATGCACAGATAGGCTGCCTTGTGTGAATGACTCCAATGTAAGTCAAGAACAGAATTTTAAAAGTTCAGTAATAAGATGGTGAACATTAACATACCCTCTGTAAATCAGGAGACCAGAAATATGAATTACTTCTGACATGCTTAATGGGTGCCACGTATTCTGTTAAATTTAACATTATTACACTAGGTATAACATCAGAATTTCATCTCTATAAATACAGATTCTGAATTTTAAAGAAACCTTTTTTGAATGCAGCTCCATCGAAAGAAGACAAAATGGAAATCAGAGAGTGCACTCAGTTATTTACCCCATGATTTTTGTTGCTTTGAGAAGTTTCAAGCAGAAATAATTTTGGAGTTCAACCTCCCATTAGCTACTAAGGAATTAGTAGAATGATTTCAAATTCCTTCCCCATGCCACTCTATGCTCTGTATATTTACCTAATTAATCTAAAAAAAAATCTAATTTTTTTCATGGTAAATAAACACATTGTACAAACAAAGGAACAGCAGCTGATAATCAATTAACTGATATGTCTAATTCATGACTTATTAGAGACCAAATGTATATCTTAACCAGGCTTCTGGAGTATTTGATAATAGCAACAACAATGCTTGTGAAAATTCTGCCCATACACACTGTGCATTTAGGAGGGATTAAAAATATAATGAGAGCAAGGAAGATATTTCTGTGGAATGCAAGAACTCTGGCTAATGCCTCTGTCAGAGTCAATTTGCATGATGCTGAACTTAGCAGTCAATACAAAATATTTTTCTTTTGCGATATATTCTCCTCAAGCTCATGGTCTTCAGATCCCATCTGAATTTCCCAGCATTTTTTACCAGCTGTCATTTATACAACATATCTGTTGTATAAAGCAGATATTTAATTATGGGGTTCTGTGGAAGACATCCAACAGAGATATCCCTACCTAAAGCAGAGTAGTGAAAGAAGTAATGATGCTTCTTTTCATTTCATATACCATTTTTCCCTGATCAAAATATCGGGTTTTATGATTTCACTAATTGATAGCCCAGTACTCAGAAATACCAGAGCCATCAAAGCTGAATAATCAAAATATTATTAGGGCTTTATAATGCTATCTACCACAACTAATCATTAGAGGACTTCAGCTGTGTCTTGTAACCATTTCCACATACATCAAAATTGCAATGATTTAGTCCTTGAGCCCTGATTAACAAAAGCAGGATGTGCCAAGTTACTAACTCAGTTTCAGAGAAAGTTTTTGAAAAATGACAGAGAAGCTGATTTTTCTTAACCCAGTTTAAAAGGAATAAAAATCTTGCCAGTATATGAAGCCAGAACTACTCAAGCACTGAAAAATAAGGTCTTATACTGTTTATCAGAGGAGAATATTGACCTCAAGTCATTCCTGTGGCCTCAGGGAGACACTGCTTTACAGGTTGCCCTCATATATCTGGTTACAGAGAGTCTAAACACAATAGTTTCTACCTTCTAAAATCTGACAGAAATGACAAGCCTGAATTTATTTTTAACGTGTTTGTTGGTATTAGGTGTAGATTAGATCTTAACCTCCTTCTATTTCTTCCTTATATTAGTCTCATGTCTGATTTAGGGTTAAAATCATTTTTTCATCAGGGAAACCTGGAGTACTTCTAATTCTGCTTCAACATGTTCAAAGATCTTGCAAGATAAGGTTAGCATTCTAATACAAATGGATCTGGGTTTCCCTGCTCTGTTATGCCATTGTAAAGTTACTGACTTTAAAGAAACACTATGGAGACTCCAGTTTAAGCAAATGTACTTTGGCCTCTAAGCAGCTACAACACCACCACGATGACATAATTGAATGCTAGTACTTATTGAGTTTTTTAGCATGTTAGAAGACACTACAGCTCGGGTAGCCAGCTTTACATTAGTCAGAAATGGTTTTCATATAAAAATCTGTAAAGAGTGTTTATGATGAGATCAGAAATATGCCAGCAACATATTTTTCTATTTATGTATTCTCGAGCAAAAGATTTAAACAGATTTATAGCACTGCATAATTTAAATAGCAATCGTTTGGATCCACTTAAGAAGTTGGAACCATGAATAAACATAAAACAGATAATTGCATATCCAAATATATCTTTTCTCCTTTAAAGCAACCCATCCAATGTCTTCATTAGTACACAAGCATTGGGCTGCTTGAGAGTCTGAGCAGGATTAGGGCTGGCACTTTTCCTTCAGGGACAGCACCAGGACAGGGGGATGTGAAACTGGTGGTAGCAGGATCATTCAGCTGCTGCTTGCAGTCAGGTATCTGCATGCAACATAAGGCACATGCATGTTTCAAAATGCCTAAGGGCAAGTTAACATCTACACTAGGAATTATTGTACTGCATACATACATAAAAACAGAATTTTCACCACTCATACAAGCTTTTATTCTTTGCTCATTCAGACAGGTCCTGTTAAATTCTAATTGTTTGAACACTTCCTCAAATTTGGACATTGTCACTTATGTCTGTAGAAAGAGCCACTTTGTTGAATTTGTCCTCTAAATCATTTATAATTTGTACTAAAACAGGGAAGTATTTTTAACACTGGAACATACTTCTCCTGTCCTGCCATTTCCATGGTACAGAGCTATTTGTACAACCACAATCTTTAGGTAGGCAGTTATTTTTAAGAATATGAATTGCTGTATTTGTAGCCTCGTGCTACACAATTCAAAACAAAGATTTTTACAATATTTATACTTGGCAGTCACACTTACATACTTGTCTAATGAATAATTTTGTATCAGCTCTAACAGTCATTTATGTATCAAGTTTTCTGTTTTAAAGCACAAATACAGGAAAGGAGACGAATTAAAAGCCAATTCTAGTATTCAAAACAAGGTATGAACACATACTGCAATGGCTGCATAAAAAGAGTTCTGTTATTAATATCTAAAATACAAATGTTTTAAGAAACAAAACTTCGGCAAATTACTGCTTTAAAAAACTTAATTGAGAGATAAAAGACAAGTAAATTTTAAATTTTGTATTAAAAGATCCTCAGAATAACCCTTCCCTTAGAATCAGGCTCTTCATTCATACACATGTATATGCACATGCACACTTTGATGAATTTTTGGTGTTTTAGCTGTGCCAGTTTACAGGAAGCCAGACTGGCACCTGCCATACATGAAGTTATGACAAGAGAGACCAAAACTAATGTAAAGCTTAGTGTTGACACAGGAAGAAAGGAAAAAGCACCCTGCATTGATTGCTGCTTCAAGTGCTGCAGGTTGTTCTGTATGCCACCTGGCTTTTCAACAATGAGGAGCAATTATTTACAAAGGTCACAGAATCTCCTAAAAATTCTCCTCAAAGTACAATGTACTTTTATTGATGTCAGCCTGCTACTCTCACTGAAATTAGTTCTTTTGTTACTACCCTCTTTCTGTATAAAACACAGACTAGGCTGGGCTTGAATAGGGCCATCCCCTGCCTGGCCCCCTGGCTTCTCTTCACACTCTGCTCTAAAGATGCACAGGGATTAAAAAAAGAAAAATTATGGAGATATATATAAATGCATATGGACATAAAAGAAAGTTGCTAGAAGGCTTGTGCTTTGACAGAATCTCATTACCCTGGGATATCACAAGGGCTGACCCTTAAGAACAGACTTTTAACACTGCTCTTGTCAAGTGTTCCCCACTGGAACTCTTTCTATATTTTTCAGCCTCTGACAGCTGTAAATAAATTCTATAGCTTTTCAGACAACAAACCAAGCTACAACCTGACCTCACTAAGAGTAGTAATTAGGAAGTGAGAAAGCTGAGTTTATGGTAACAGGAACGTTTTAAGGAGAAATCCAGGAGGACAAACACTAGTACCAAGAGTTAATCTTGTCAGTCCAGCACCTTTCCTTAAACTCAAAGAGAAAGACCACCCTCTTTCTATTTCCAGTTTCCAATAGATTTCAAATAGAGATTACAGGATTGTTGCTACCTGTTCCATAGAAAGGACACTGCTTTTCAATTCTTTATTTTCCCTTACAGCAGCAAATGGCAAAGGCAAAAAGATCACATAGGGCAACTAAAATAGTGCTTTTTCTTCCAGGCAGAGAATGAGAAAGAGAGAGAGAGATATCTTTGCAGGACAGTTTATAAAATTGAAATACCTCAGCAATGTTGGCTCTCTGAGCTATATTGAGGCCAAGACCTTTTGGGCAGGGCCCATAATCCTTGGGTCATTGACCAGCTTTACCTCCCACAGCTTATAAACTTGATCCCACCCTCCTCTGATCAAGGCCCCAGACTCAGTAAAACCCTTTCCATCAAATCTTTTCCACTGTTTCTTTTCCTCTGCGTTTGCCCAGAATTCCCCCTTACCCTATACAGCCTGGACAGAGTTGGTACATTGCAGTATTTTGTTCAACCTTTTTTAAGTAATCAAAATTACATGTGCTGCTCAGTTACTCAATGAGGTCATGCTTCCTACAGGTATTTTGATAGTCAGCAAAACATTTGTTATGATTCAGTCAATTCTACTCTCAGGCTTTTACTCACAGGATAGACAGTATTTCACTCACTACTCCTATAATACTCTTATCAGATAAATCCTTTTATCTTAAAAAAAAAAGGACAGAATTAATATTCTGAGCTTAATATTCCGTTTCTTTTTCCTATGGCTGCAAATTACGGAAAGTCCTAGTGGACTTAGATGGACCATTAACTATAAAAAGTCACCACCAGGGTTCTATTTCAAGCCAAAACTGAAAGATCAAGTGGAAAAAAATCATCCCCCAGGTGAAACACTTCAATACAAATGAGGAGAAGCAGGGTATTCTGCTGGTTAGACATCTGATGACTGTAACTTCCATCTGTGCCTTGCTGAATTCTGGCAGTGGGCTGGACTGCTTAGTCTATTATTGCTCAGCCAGCAGGATGACTTTGTTATGGCAGGGGATGTGGGACAGCTTCCTCCAATAAAAGCAGGTATCAGAGCAAATTGGCAACTGAAGAAACAGGGCTTGAATGAGCTTATGACCTGCTTGTCTATAGGCAGACAATGCATCAAATGGGGATTGGAGTAATTTGTTCTGTAGGATATATTTAGATTTTGATTCAGCACATATCACTGCCTTGTGAATCAGCTCTGGTTTCCTACCTTGATGTACTGGGAAAATGAAGCCTTTTATGTTTAATAAGAAAGAAAGGTATTTCTACTGCCATATAAAAATAGTAGGGATGAATTAAACATTACACCTTAAATGAAGTGTATTCCAGACAAAGCATGCTATACGATATTCATGCTTAGATGGAATGTCATGAATCAGCAGCTTTAAATCCTTCCTTTGAAAAATATTTGCTGGCACTTTGTTTCTTTGAGTGAAATATGTTTTTAGATGCAATTTAATGGTTGAAGATTGTACATGTCTCTTCAGTATAAGCAAGCCAGAATGTTATTATTTAACCATGTCCTTTAATTATAGGATTAATCTTCAAAGCATTGTGAAGCACATTTGCAAAGTCACACAGAGAATAAAAGGCTTACAGAGTATAAAAACCTCACAGAGCATAAGAGGTAGCAGTGGTATAAGTGAATGGTGATAATGAAAAGGTACCCATATGCTACAGCTATATTTATACACTAAGATGACAAGGCATATGAATGAAGGAACTGTGATGCTTTTGTCCCTTTTCACTGGCAAAGCCCACCGTGGCAGCTGTCTGTACAAGGCTACTGGAACACTTTACAAACAGCTTTTTCCCAAACCTGCATGCTGTGCATCAGCTGCATGGGGTCATCCTCACCAGGGGAGCTGTGAGGATGACCCCACGCAGCTGGGTCAAACCTTCTCCAGTACAGTTCTTTTTCAATAGGCTCAGAAGGCAGGAACTGATTTACCATAGTGGGCCCTACTATTATTTCAGACTATTAAGTTAAAACCTCATCATTTTCCTTCACTTTTCAATGAGACATCCCAGATGACACTCAGTCATCCTCTGATTCCTCCAGTGGAGAAAAAAACATATTACAAGCTAATGTCAAAAAAAGTTCAAAATTGGAATAAAACTATGCAATGCTGGAATATTTGTTCCAACATCTGTTGCCATTTTGCATAAAAATAATATATTTTAAATCAACTGAATTCGTACTTGACCGACTAAGAAAAGAAACAAGTCGCTACTACACTCCCTATATTTAATGTCATGAATAAATTATCTACCTCAAAAGGAAACAAGACAGTTACTTCTTTCTAATAAAGATATCAGATCTTTTCCTTTGTCTGTCATACTGCAGGTGTTTGACCTCAGCACCTGTGATTACATTATGCAGGATTCTTTGATTGGTATGCTTTTAAATAAAGAAAAAGTACCATATAAATCTCTTGACAAGAAATCTAACCTAGTGATATCAGGAACACTGAGCATAAGTTATCTGAGGATACTGCTTAATTAGTCTCTGATGGAATGAATATCTGTGCAAATAATTAGCATAAAATATATGCAGTACTTATCTAAAATAAGTGGCTCATTTGCCATATGTACCTCATGCAGGATATACTTCTAGATACTAATATTTCCTTTAGGTACACAAATCAGTTCATTATTTTCCCTCTTAGGTATTAAAAAATTGTGACTAATGCCCAGAAACTCACAGTATTATTTTAAAAATTTAAACAATTTTCTAAACATAAAACAAAAAACTGCATTGGTTCATTTTCTGTACACTCTCACAGTGCTCTGAAGTTCAATTGTAATAGTTACATCCTTCATAAAACAATAGAAATCTTGGGGAAAAAAATCAGTGTAGGAGGGAGAATGGATCCAGGTAATTTGGTCAAACATCAAGGGGAATTCAGAGAGGAAGGTGGGACAGGCAGGAGAGGCTCTCTTGTGTTTAAAGCAATGGTGCCTGCTCACTTCACGTGAACACCTCTGGGATGTTTGACACCAGCACCCTCACCCCTCCCTGAGCACAGAAGGAGGCTCCTGGCTGGAGCCCTGCCTCTCTCCTCAGCCCTGCTGCAGCCTCCAAATGCCCGAGGAAGAGCAGGGACTACCCAGCAGAAAAGCTGCACAAGCTGCTTGGTGCTCCAGAGAGAAGCCCCAGTGTGCCTTTGTACCCCAGCACCAGTGCCCCAACCCAAAATGTGCCTTTGTACCCCAGCACCAGTGACCCAACCCAACATGTGCCTTTGTACCCCAGCACCAGTGCTCCAACCCAAAATGTGCCTTTGTACCCCAGCACCAGTGACCCAACCCAAAATGTGCGTGGTGTACCCCAGCACCAGTGACCCAACCCAACATGTGCCTTTGTACCCCAGCACCAGTGCCCCAACCCAAAATGTGCATTTGTACCCCAGCACCAGTGCCCCAACCCAAAATGTGTCTGATGTACCCCAGCACCAGTGCTCCAACCCAAAATGTGTATCCCAGCATCAGTGCTCCAGCTGCTCAAATGTAAGGAGGCACAAAAGGAATTACATGTGTTAAAACCCAACACAAAACAACTAACCTGCTGGGTAGGGAAAGTAATTACAGAAAACAATTAATTTTATTCACTGAGTGGAACCTGAACCAAACAGATCTTTTCTGACATTATTGTCATGCAGGACTTTCTAGCTGAAAAAATAATTTTGCTCACTAAAGGGCAGCTGGTGTCTGCACTGAGTTACACGTTGGAGACTGAATTGGCTGTGGAGATCTCTCGTGTACTTTTCATGTTCTCTGTCAAGTCCTACCAGGGGTCATGCAAGTTAGCAGAAGCCAAAAAGGACAAATTACTTACCCTTCTCATAGGAATCCCTTAATCCTGTCTTAACACTCTGTGTTTCTTTAAACACAAAAATAACATGCTCTTTGTTTTCTACATTCTTCTCTCCCAGTCTTCATTTGGAATGAGATAAATGTTTGGAAATTGTAGTCTCCAAAATAAAAGTGTATAGTTTTCCCTGGTTCCTGAGCATTTCTAAAGCCACAAATTTGTGAAATTATCATGAGTTTCTAGACCTGTCTTTTACCCAAAATTATGGAGCAGAAAATAATGTTGATGAAAATATTAGCTCTCTATCATCATAAGTGCAGGCCTTACTCTAATATTTGCCCTCTCTTTCTTTTTCATTATCAGACAAAATAAAAACCTAAACATAAGTTTCTGTGACTATGAAGACTCAAAAAAAAAATTATATATTAAGTGTTAACTTATAAAATCCTACGCACAGTTCAAATAATACCAATCTAACAGAGAGCATTGCATGGCCATATAAGTAATATGAAAAAAAGTTTACAATTTTGTTTCCATTACTTCCAATATTAAAAAACAAAATTTGCAACTCAAACTTTCTTAGATGCATCTGGATTACATGAGATTAAAGCAATTGTAGTTTAAATTACTATAATGCAATTATCAGAGATTGTTACATGTCACAAAGATAGAATTTGAATTGAATTTGAGATAGTCAGGGAGAGAAATGATACTGCTGCTAAATTTTAGGCATTATTCTAGCTATCTAGATAACAAAGACATCCTCTATTACTTAATGCATTGCATTTAATAAAATCCATTAGTTAAACTAAATAATTCACAAACTGAAAACTCATAAAGCTGAATAGAAGACTATCTTGCCATGGCATCAAAAATTTGATATGCACATGTACTAAAAAACTCTATCAAAGGACTGGGGATGACTTCAGTCGGGAAAAAAATATGCTTGCTTTGATCTGTTCTCTTAATCATCTTTGATTTTTCACCAAGAACACTCTGTATACTTTCAAAAGACAACTAAGGAATAAAAAGATTCTGTTTAAAAACAGCAGAGTAATAGCACAGCATGACATTAATCCAAAATAACTTAATTTTCTTGCTTCTATAGACAATTACCTAAAATTCTCTGGAAACCATTTCTCCCTTCATTTGTGTTCAGTATGTATGTGTGTGCAAACATAAATTCACACAGTGTAGACAGAAAATCAGAGCACTGGTCAAAGTGAGAGAGGATCTCCTATAGCTCAGAAGGGATCTCTCATTTGCTCACCTAGAATCACCTCCATCAGTTTAATCAGAACCCCTGAACAGTTCTAGAGGGAGACATTCACAGCCTGGCACTGGTTTCATGGCTTCCTCCTTACCTAATACACTGGTTTTCTATAAAACTTGTCTTTATGGTGCTTCTGTAGTTTCTAACTGGTATGCAGACAGGTTCATGGGCAGAAGAAACAACAAAACAGCATTTTGTATCTTGGAGACAAGGATATTTAAAGTACTAGCTCCAGGTCACTGTGGAAATTGAGGGAGAAAATTAAATCCATAAAACAAATATAAGTTATCATATTGATGCAAAAGTAATTTACAAGTAGTCACTAAGGTTCATATCAAAACTGGATAAATGATCGGAAAAATATGGAAAACTTAAAATTTCTACATATGGAGTATCCAAAACACCAGTTGCTGACAGTAATTTAAAGCACCTAAACATTTTTTGTGTTTTTTCTTTGACTTGCCTTTATTTTCTACTGTTTCTTCACATATATCTCGTCAGGTATTGCCCATATTCTTCTATAATTTCCCCTTCTCTATCTTCCAATAGGCTTTTGCAGGATGCCATGGTTTCCTGGGATGCCTTTAATGTCTGGCCTTTAATATGAAACAGAAAAATTATGCATCTATCACCTTTCTCCTTTTAAATCAAATTATCTGAAAGTTTTCTCTTGACAACAAGAAGTGCAGACAAGTGTACATTCTAAATAAACAGGAATTCCTGATACACTAGCTTATGAGGGCTTTGCTTTGTCTTTCCCAAAAATATCTAATTGCCCTTTGAATTTAAATACATATTTAAATAATGTACAAAGTACAAAGTAACAACTACTTGATCAGACTAAGATTTTGACTTTTTTTACCACACTTATCACAGTGCTGTTGAATTCACCACACTGTTGATATGCTTTCAAAATCCAACGTGGTAATGGTCTGAAATTTCTTCTGCGTGCCTGTTAAGGTGCTGGAAGAACAGATTAACACAGGTGCGACCAAAACAGATCAATGCCGTCAAAACACTTAGCAGACATCCTAAAGCAGGAGTCAGCAGTGCTGGAAGATGAGGGGGAAAGGGAAGCACGGCTGATCTGCTGGGCTGAAGCTGAAGCATCCCCCAAACGTGACCAGACGGTAATTGAGCTGTTCGGAGCGTTTATTCAGCGCCCGAGGTCAGGGCGGATTTTCTCCGTGCCTCCTGCCGCTGCCATGGGGCAGGGCCGGGGCAAGGCGGGCGGGAGCGGAGCTGGAAAGCCCCGCGCTGCTCGCTGCGGAGGAGGCGCGCCCGGAGCGCGGGCCCGGCGGGGCTGCGGCCGCGAGGGGGAGCGGCAGCCCCGCACGCCGCGGAGCCGCGCCCCGCGCCGGCCGCCGCATCCGCATCCGCGCCCCGCTCCGGCCACCGCCACCGCATCCGCACCCCGCTCCGGCCACCGCCACCGCATCCGCGCCCCGCTCCGGCCACCGCCACCGCATCCGCACCCCGCTCCGGCCACCGCCACCGCATCCGCACCCCGCTCCGGCCACCACCACCGCCATCCCGCACCTGCCACCGCATCCCGCGCCCCGCTCCGGCCACCGCCACCGCATCCCGCACCCCGCTCCTGCCATCCTCCACCGCCACCCCGCGCCCCGCTCCGGCCACCGCCACCGCAGCTGGAACCCCGCCCCGCCCGTTCCCGCAGGTCGCTGTTTTGGGAGGCCGGGCGGTGCCGCTGCCCTGCGGGAGCGCTGCCAGGGCCGCCCCCGGCTGTGCTAGCAGCGGGAGAATCCAGCGGTGCACACCTGTATGGACCAGCAGCAACAGCGCTGACAAGGGATTAATTGTCTGTGTGCGACCTGCTTCCCTGCCATGAGTGGCTATACGTGTGTTAGATTTAATATCCTTACTGTCGGCTACTTAGATACTGCCAGGTTTGGTGAGAGTCAGAAAAACTGGGATTTCTCCCTCAGTGTTTTCTAACCTCAACAATACAGACTAAACTCATGAAACACCCACACTGCTGTCCAGCCCTCAAACAAAGTCATGGTGCTGCTGCAAAGGAATTTATTCCAGATGCACTTGTGCCAGTTGGGTGTCAGAGCTAAAGCACATTGCTGGGACAGTGCAAAGCTTGCTTCATGAGCACATCCCTGCTCTGCGGCTAGAGCACACAGCAGTCTCTGGCACTGCTGTTTTGATTAAATGTACTCCTGGTACATTTCAAATAGATTTTCACACAGAACATTGCGGTCTCTCTGAAGGACTGTTTGACATCTGAGTCGTTCAACTGAACGTGACACACATTCTGTCATTCCCTTTTTATTTTGGGAACCAAATTTCACTAGGCTCCATACAAGTATTGCACATTGTGAATTTTCAACTCGAGCAGTGCAGAGTCATGAAACTGTAATCCTCACTGTAACGAAGTGCAATCTGATGACTCAGAGCCTTTCCTTCTCTTATGCTTTCTTTATGTCACGTGTAGTTGTTAATTAATTAGAAGATATGAATTAAAATGTCTTCCCTCTCTTAGCAATACTTCTGTATGAATTTTAATCATTATGCAGCACAGAAATCCAAACTGCCTGACAAACAGCTGAACAAGGGTTATGTTGTTACATTCAAGACCTAATCCCTCTTCTTCTTAAGTACAGATAGATGTGTTTAATCTATTTAAATTTGCCTTAATTGTTTGAATCTACAGAAAGCTGACTGTACTCTCTGCTTTAATTTGGGTGATTCCAAGAAATTAATATGCACTAAGCTGTTTCCCTAGATATTGCAGACTTCTGCTAGCAGTTACAGTGACTAAGCAGATATAAAATGCATCCCCTGGTGATGTAAAGGTACCCCACAGTGTTTGCCACTGCCTGTTTTTACCTTGATATCCAGAGACAGATGAGGCTCTGTCATGGTCTTAGGATGCAAGCAGCCATCTCACTCTTCTCTTCCTCTGTGCCACTTGCTCCCACTGCCATCAGTCCTTTCCCAAGTGTGGGATCGATGCCAAGTAGCCTGTACCAAATTTTCAGTCTGGACACTACGTGGGGAAAACTGGTTGCCCTTCCTTACACAGTTGCAGTGAATCAAGAAATGACATTTGCCATGTGTCACCTGGACATTTCCCCCTTCACACACAACACTAATATCAGCAAAAGAACTTTCTTCTGTGTTCAATATAAAGGTAATGAAAATAAATGAAAGAAAAGATAAAATTGCCTATAAGGTAGCCAGATGGGCAGCCTACTGTAATGCTCTCATTTGATCCCGCATATGAAAGAATTTTTATTTATGTCCTCTTGTATTTCCCTTAAACCAGAAGTTAAACAATTATTTTTGGCCCTCTTGTGTATGACAAATAATTCCCAAGATAATTATTTTTCCATCAAAGCATTAGCTTTTCACTATGACTATACCCAGATTAAAATTTAAACACCAAAGCCTGATATTGTTTCTGTTAGCTAATTAAGTGTGAAATATTTTAAATGGAACACTAATGGAATAACATCCTTAAGTGTTTTCTGTAAATCTTCTGGGATTCAGTCTTCATCAGAAATGCATAAAGGCTATTAAAAAACTCTAATATATTAAGTGCTCAAGACAAACCATTGTGAACTGAGGTAGCACTTCTGCCATATTTGCAAAAAAATATCCCTTATATTTATGTGTTTTATTCAAGTAATACTGTTCCTGGAACTGTAGCCAGTTTTGGAAGTTGACACAAATTAGAAAGCTAAAGGCTACTGAACACATAAATAGCTCTGAGTGCATAGCTCTGCTCCTCTCACCTCATGAAATAAACTTTTTTTGTTCTCCAGTGCCAGAGGACTGTCATGTTGAAATAAACAGATGAGAAGCTACTATTTTTTACTCTTGCTGGATACTGCACTTGTATACAGTATCCTGCAATTCAGTACAATTCTTTAGCCTGGAACACAGTGAAGAGTTCCTAGACTGATTGCCATGAGGTAAAACCTCACCTGCCAGTGTGGGACAATGACAGAGTCCTGGGAAATGGAATAGAATGCACAACTTCCCCTGTCATCCTTGGTCACTAGAAAAAAAAAAAAAAAAAACAAACAGATTTGGGTCTTTCTAAACAATTGATCATGTTTCCTGAACCCTCATTCACATTATTTTTATTGCCACAAGCATTTTCTTTTCCCTTTTGACTGTCTCCCTGGTTTATAGAGTTTAGTTTTCAGGAGGAAAATGTAGAATTGAGGGAAAAGTGAAAATCTAAGTTCTATATAAAATCCAGGTTTGGTCCTATTTTCCTGATCTGTCAAACTGTCTCTTCTGTTTTGTCAGACATTCATGTGCATGATCCTGGTCTCAGTGCCATGAAATAAATCTAACAGTGTAACTTAATGGAAATATCCAAGTATGTACAAAGATGCAAATAAAGTCAGAATGTGACCTAGAGCTCATACTTTACCAGGTATTTGTATCTATTTCATTTCCATTCCAGACTTGGTTTTTATTTTTTCCTTCCTTACAACACTCCAAATAGAATTTTTTGAAATAGAAACTTCCCAAGTTTGAATAAATTGGGTTTTTAAAGTGAGAAAAATCAATTTGGCTGTATTCTAGCTATATAAATAAAATCTTTAATGACTTTAAATTGTTTTTATGTATGCATTTCCTTTCAAAGGTGTCACAGAGATTGCTTTTATTAATTAAATTTATTATGCAAAGAATATATGCTCAAACTCAAATATTGTGACACAATTAAAAGTTTTGTATGCAAAAAAAAATAGCTTTGCTTACTTGCATTTAGATAAGAAAATATTCCAAGTGGAGGAAAAATAATAACCATCTCAAGAAGTAAAAAAAGCAAAAAACATATTTTCATTTTATGATCCCTCTACCCCACCCTATTTTTGGGAATACACATGGAGATGGGGAAAAATTGTTGGGTTTTTTCCCAGATGTCTTTTACAGGAGTTTTTCTAGTATTGGGTGATTTTTAAATTCATCTTATTGGGAATAGAATCAGGTCTAAATTGTATTTTTCTTCTTTGATGCCTGATGTGTATAAATATTCATGAGTCAACACCTGGGGCTGGCTATTTTCTAAAATCTGTATAACTGTTATTGCAGTTTTATCTGTGGACTGTGATGTCTCATTTGAATTCATGAGAGCTGTTATAAA